CGCCATATCCACAAGGTGAATGATGATGAGTGGGCGAAGCTCCGGAGGTAAACCTGGTAAACCATGAATCCTCTGTACATTTTGTCCACTCGATTTTATTACATCGCTCCCCCTAGCGTACGTCGCCGCACTAAATCGAACGATTGCCTTCAACCAATGACACGCGCCATATGACATCATTCCTATTTTATAAGATCTCGCGTCTTTCATCAACTACAAGTACCGCTTTCTAGTTTATAACATCTTGCATCTTTTCATCATCAGCTACAAGTACCACCATCTAGTAAACACTACAAGAACTAAACGAGAGGTGGCTACATACAGGAGACGGTACCGCCATCTAGTAAACACTGCAAGAACTAAACTAGAGGTGGCTACATACAGGGGACGGTACCGCCATCTAGTGAACACTGCAAGAACTAAACTAGAGGTGGCTACTACACTACAGGCTACGCGCACAGCCCACGCCCTAAGGAGCTTCGCCCCTAAAAAGTTTATCAAGAGTTAGAGCTTCAAACCAGACTCCTGTGGTTCCCGGCTCACATGGGAGAGGTATCGGAGACACACCGCAACCTAAACGAGACGGCACATGCCAAGGCGCGCGAGCTCGTGAACCGCGCCAGCGACCGTCCTCTATGGGGAAACACCAAAGACCGTTTGACAACTTATAATGAAATTACCAAGGCTTTCCACCTGGCCCACCGAACCTTTCCTCCACCCAGCGAGAAGCTGAACACGATGCAGGCAGTGTCTTTACGACAGCTGCAGACGCACACGTATCCCAACCCATCGCTGTTAACAGCCTATACCCCAATATGTATTCAATGAATATATGCAAGATATACAATAGTGAGGTTGACACATTAAATTACATGCTCTGGGAATGCGCTAGAAATCCGCAAAGTGCTAATCCGGAACCCTTCCACCGTGGTTGGCCGCTGCCCTGTGCAGCCCCAGCCTCGGTGACCAACTCTGGGCCGTCCAGCAGGCCCGCTAGGTGGCGGTCAGGCAAGGTCTTGACGTCCCCACGCGGGAGACCTAAGGTCCAGTCGGCGAAAGCTGTGCCGGACTACCAATAAAGTTTTTACCAACCAACCAACCTGATGTTCTTCAACTTGACCTAAATGCAAGCACACGAGCCTCGATATAGCACTTCACCTTATCGAAACGCGGCCGCAGCGGCTGGGATTCGATCCCGCACCTTCGGGCCAGTGGTCGAGCACCCTAATCACTATGATCACCGTGGAGGGTATCAATAAATCACACTCTACTGCCTATATTCGTCGTATTCAGAAATGCTTATGTGATATACGTACATACTTTATACAGCGCCTGAATCAAGTATATAAGGCATTATTCGAAAGTCTCAAGTATTCACGCACTCCTACTTTTACAATAATGCACTTTCTACGCACAAATATGAGTTTACGGGCTCAGAGGTGTACCAAGTGTACAACACCTCACCCTGAACGTGTGCATCGCGATGACACGATTCGCCCAGTCGGCAGTCTCGTAATGCAAGTGTACCCACCACGTATCTATAAGGCAATTCACGTACCTGTTTTGCTGCACACTTTGATAATGCTGTGGCACCTGGTGCAGCTCCTGTTAATGATTAGTGGCAGAGCCGTTCGCAGTGGGTCGGAAACTTTACCCCATGCACTTAGTGGACAATTCACATTGTGAATTTGTTCAATTGCGCATATAGAAGCGTAGAATTTTGCCACGGACGTGGTGCAACTAATTAACGTAACTCTTCGCATTACCTGATGCCTTTATAGTGTGTTTTCAAGCGAAACGCGCATTTACTACCTGTGTTGGTGGTGGTGTTCTAAATAAATCCTGCACAGCCACAGCGGGCGTTCGCGCACCAAGTAAATGATGAATTAGAAAAAATACATTTTTTTTCTGGAGATCTGCGGTGAAGAGAGAGAGAAAAAAAAATTGGCCCGAATCTGCATGTTATACTGCAAATGTCGCCGAAAGACGTTAGTCTTGCGTCTGGAGAGAGTGAACAAACGTTTATTTGATGTTCTGCGCAAGAAAATCGGTGAATGGTATTCTGGAGGCGCTGCGTTAGAGTGCATCGAGCATGTAGCGGAGGCGAACGAGCGCTTTGAGGCACGTTAGACGCGAGCGCCATCTGACATTCATCTTCGAAAACGAAGGCATGCACGCCCATGGAGAAAGATTCGCGCCAGTGTCGGAGGTGATAAGATGTAGAATGCAAAGCGACGGGCAGGTGCCACCAGCGTGTCGTCGTAGCAAAGCATTGGAAACACCTTTTTGAGCATCGTGTTGCATTGTCAGCGCAGTGCGATAAACGATACAATCCTTAGAGTTACTTGTGTGTGCCTCTTCTAGTATAAGGGCAGACATACGAAACATAGACGTGTTGTCATGGCGCCTCAGATATGCGCAATATTTGCTTTTTAATTGACAATCGCATAACTATGAACGCTAAACCTAGAGCAATATTGATGGGCGCTGCGGATGGGGTTGGCCGTTTAATGCCGTTTGAGATATCGTTAAGAGCGGACAAATAGACAAATGTACAGACAGACAGACCAAAATTTTTTCGTCGAAGGTCCCCAAGAAAGACAATCTTCTTTAAAATCACAGCATATCCACGGAGTGAATGATGATGAGTAGAATGGAGCGTTCGTCATTCCGTGCGTCCGTCCATGCGACTGTCCATGCGTCCGTCCGTACAGACGTCCGTTCGGGCGTCCGTGCTTCTGCCTGTTTGTCCATGCGTCCATCTGTCCCTCATGCTTTCATCCGTGTGTTCATCCGCCCGTCCGAGATTTCGTCGGTGCGTCTGTCTGTCTGCCTGCCTGTCTGTCTGTCTGTCTGTCTGTTTGTCTGTCTGTCCGTGCGTCAGTCCATCCATATAGTTCAAAATAATTCTTTATATGTTGACTAGATTGCTAGGGCGCCGCGCCGCGCTACACGCTAGCCACGTAAATTGAACGTTAGAAACGCGTCGTTATATACATACATAATTTTTCTTCAAGAGACATTCGCCATAAAGGAAGAAAGAGAGAGAATCAGAGGGTGAAAAGAGAGGAACCATGGCCCGAAAAGTACTTCAGTGAAATTAGAACGTCTAAAAGACTTGTGATGAACAACCACTTGTGATAAACAAGCATACGTTCTTATGTACGAAATGATGTATTCGTATTTTGGGGGAAGAACTAGGATAGAGATGTATGCGTGTGAATATTTTGTTGCAGTGTGAACGCCTGCAAGTGAATTGTACATTACCACGTTAATTTATTTACCCATTGCAGTTAGCTGTGTGTTTCAAGAAAATATATCCAGCCAAAAAAATTGGCTTCGTATATGCATGTTTCACTGCAAATGTCGTCGAATGACAATAGTCTTGTTTGGAGGGAGTTAACATAACGTTTTTTTATGTTCTGCGCGAGAAAATCGGTGAATTGTATTCTGCCGGCGCTGCGTTAGAGAGTCTTGATCCGTGCAGTGAAGGTGAACGAGCGCATGGAGGCACGTTACACACGAGCGCCATCTGGCAGTTATCCTAGAAAACGAAGGAAGGCGTGCGCGCCCGTCTTGGGGACGATAAGGTGTAGAGCGCAAAGCGACATGCAGGTGTCGTATTAGTAAAGCGTTGGAAACACTTGCCTTTTTGAGCATCGCGTTGCATCGTCAGCGCAGCGCGATAAACGCTACGGTCCTTATATTTACTCATGTATGCCTTCTCTAGTACAAAGCCATACATACCAAACATTGACGTGTTGTCATGGGGCCTCAGATATGCGCAATAATTGATTTTAAATGACAATCGCACAAGTATGAACGCTGAAACTAGGGCATTATTGGTGGGCGCTCCGGATGGGGTTGGCCGTTTGGGTATCGTCAATGGTAGTATATAGGTGCTCTGTGGTATCGGTAGATGCAGTTTGGGGTATCGTTACGGTGGACAAACAGACAAATGTGCAGACACATGATAGATAGATATGTGGAGTTTAACGTCCCAAAACCACTATATGATTATAAGAGACGCCGTAGTGGAGGGCTCCGGAAATTTAGACCACCTGGGGTTCTTTAACGTGCACCCAAATCTGAGCACACGGGCCTACAACATTTCCGCCTCGCAGACACATGAACAGACGGACCAAAATTTTTGCGTCGAAGTACACCAAGAAAGACTATCGTCTTTAAAAAAATAACGTACACATGAAGCGGAGAAGAAGACAGGAGAGCGGCTAGATGGCCAGCTGTGCCTCGCTCTAACGTGCAAACGCACTTGCGAAAACGAACTGCTTGACAGTACAGACTCGTTTCCCTTTCATTTATCGTTTTTCAGTTTAGTTACACGCGGAACCAGGCTCGCGTGAAGGTGTGCGTGGACGTCGAAGTCACTTCTTTCGCAAAGTTAACAAAAAAACACGAACGTTAACGAGACTGGATGTACCGCGCACGCGGGACAAACTGCCGATGGTGTCAAACATGGAAGTGCGAATGTACAGCGCACCGCGGTCTGCAGCTTTCTTGCACGGCGATGCATACACATCCATAGAACAGCGGGCAAGTGTATACAGGCACAGCAGCGCCGGCTGGGCGCCACGTACACAGCAGCAGCAGCAGCAGCAGCAGCAGCAGCAGCAGCGTGGTTTCGCTGCTCTCGACGGAAGTTCTGGCGATCGATTTCTCCTCTCCCTCCGCTCGTATCGCTTGACGCGCTCCTCTTCGACTCGTACGTTGCACATAGACACACAGCACACGAGCAGCAGCAGCTGAGTGCGATCGCGTCGCGGCGTGCGTATACGACGCATACGCGACAACGTGGTCCTCTCGGTTTCATCCTTCTTTTGACGCCGCGACATGAGCTCCGAAAGAGCCGCGTCGGAGTCGTCCGCGTTATTGCAACAAGAACCGTCCTTGCACGCAGAGGCCGACGTCGCCGTTTACCGAACGGATGGACTATCCATCGGGAGGCAGCAGTCCTGCTGTCAAAAGACCACGGTGCTAGTTATCGGAGCCGGACTCAGCGGTAAGAATGTGTGCGTGGGATTGGCGAGGGAGAGTGTTAACGGAAGACTTGTTTTTGTTTTACTCTTGTGACGCGCATCTTGACGTAGTGCTATAAGAAATATGTGACATGATATTTATGTTTTTTACATTGTACAGTTTTAAAATTTACCGATTTGAAAGTATATGCGCAAGAGTGTTCATAATGACAGCATACTGCAGTAGTCGAACAAGATGTGTCGCTGGAGCTAGCCTTTGTCGGGACTTCACGAAGACGAGTTCACTTGCCGATAAGTTGACTTCAACGAGACAGTACTTCGCGATGAGCCTGGGTAGCAGCAGTTGGTTCTACATAGTGTAAACATTTGCACGCTACAGTGAAAGAAGATCGAAGATGAAAAAGAAACGGGACAAGACAGGCGTGAGCGCACAACTGTTTTTTTTTGCTGAATCACGACGCCATCTATACACACAAATAATGGGGATGAAAAAAAAAGAAACAGAACGAGGAAAAACACTGCTACATACACAGGAACTACATCACGACAGGGGCTGTCTTCAATCTGGCGCCCGCGTATCTTGACATCTGATAACTTCCTTGATGATGATGATTATATGTGGGTTTTAAAGTCCCAAAACCACCATACTATTATTAGAGACGCCGTAGTGGAGGGCTACGAAAATTTCGACCACCTGGGGTTGTTTAACGTGCCCCCAAATCTGAGCACACGGGCCTACAACATTTCCGCCACCATCGGAAATGCATCTGATAACTTCCTTACTCACCCCGGAAACATGGCTACTCATTGCAACATGTGTCAAAGAGATCCGAAATTTGATAGCACTCCGATTGTCTCACGATATCATAACTCAAAATAAAAAGAAATAATCGAAGCCTTTGCAATGCCCGTGCCGACGCTGACAGGATAGCACGCTTCATTATCACTTACCAGAGATGCGGAAGTATCATTTATTCACTGTATATAAGGTATTTAACAAATGTCGAGATACGTGGGCGCCAGATTGAGGATAGCCCCTCTCGTGGCATGCTTCTTGCGCATGCGCCAATGTTTCTTTTCGTTCTTATTATTTTCCCGTGCACCCCAATTTCTTATATGTGTATACATGGTGTCGTGATTCGTTTAAAAATAAAGAGTTGTGAGTTCGCGCTTTGGTTGTACCGCTTCTTTCATCTTCAATTCTCTTTTATAGTTGTACGCAAAAGCTTACACACGGTATTCGTATTATCTTGATCGTTCAAATGTTCATGCTACTGCGCACGCGTACCTCTCGTATGTTATACATATTCGTCTAGCAGTATGCTGAATTTGTACATTAGGAATGTAATAATGAAGTAAAAATATAAAAAAGCAAGAACACTCATTCTTATTAAGAGAGAGAAAAGAGACAAAGAGAAAAAGAAAGGCAGGGAGGTTAACCAGATGCTAGGATCCGTATGCTAATGTGAATATGGGCAGGTGCCTAAAGCAAAATGTAGAAATGCAAACTGGAAACATTGTATACGACGTGCGTCATGATTATAACGTGTTTCTCGGAGTATGAGAGTTGCAAAAAAGCGCGCGCGTGGCACGTCCCTGTACGTCGCCGCTCATGTGCCCCCTCATCGAAGAAAACTGGGCGAAAATACCGCAGCTTGGCATGTCAGCTGACAAAAAATCGGAGCATGTGCTGCGGACACAATGTTTATCCACTAGCTGCAGTCTTTGTGTTACGGCAGTGCTGTGAGCATTCCGAGTTTCAGTGATGGGTCGACATAAAGTGTACAGGTAACTGCCGAGCCTGTAATTACGTAACTTTTATTACAAAAAAAGAGAGACAAATGCACGCTATGCCATCACTTTTACGTCTTCATTTTTCAAACTGAGGCTGACAGTATATACTTGCTTTTGCGTTCCCCCCTGATAACGTGGTGGAGCTTTTTTTTTCTTTCAGATTTCTGATGTCACAGAACGTTAATAAAAGCTTCATTCTTGTCCTTGACGCTCGGATTCTTGTTCTAAGCCATTACATTATTAAATCCGACTCTACAGCTATTACGCTGCTGCACACTGTTGCGTTATACAACCGGTTATCCGCGGCGAGTGACCCTAACTCCAATGTGCAAGGACAAGAAATAAGCGTGGTCGGCTCTTGCGCGATAATCACGTGCAGCTTGCGACGTCATCACAGGTGTCGATCGCTGAAGACGGCTCGGCCTTGTACAGTACTCGCGGATTGAACAAGATAGTCGTAGCGCATGGCCGCTGGTGCATGTGCCGCCGCTCGTGGGGGCTCGCATAACCAAGGTGTTGCATTCAGGTATAGAGTATAGAGACCAGACGGAGCAGGCGTACTCCATCTGGTCACTAAATAGTCGGCCAGTATAGTTCATCCATGTGCAGCACTGCCAGCGTGGCGCTGCAGAGCTCGCGCGCTTTGCAATGCATGCAGCCCGAATTCTGTGGAGGCGCGAACCATTTCATATTAGTGGTGCAAGCACACGACCCTCTCGACTTGGCGCCCTTCGACGATTGGGCACGTAGGCTGCGCAAGTAAGAAATTGAGATACCGATAAGATTCGCGCCTGAAAATGCACTCGTATGCATAAATGGCTGCACAAAAGCTTATAACGTTTGTCAAGCTTTTTGTCACGACACAAAAGAAAAGCGCAGCCACGGGACTGTTTCCGTAAAGCATCAAAACAGTGACTTAGTATTTTGTTGTTTCGCCCCGAGCAGTCAATATTGCGTGCGGCTATTCTGCGTGGCGAACATTTGTGTAGTTATCGCCCACAGGAAGAACGAGCGAGCTTCTGTTTTTTTTTATTCAACAATAGGCTACAGTTTGCACTAACGACACTAACACATGATATTGTCACGACGTCAAAACAGAGGTCTTGCCGCAGACATTGAGACACCAGAAGCAGGTCAGTCTTTTTAACAGAACGCGCAAGCGAATTCTTCTTTTTCGTCCATTTCATAGTCCTTCATGGCAACATGCAACAACTGCCATCGTCTTTCTTGAGCAAGCACGTGACAAATTATTTCCATGCTGCATGAAGGCAAGCCTGGTGCTCATTTTCTTTCTCGTTGAAGCCGAAACCAGAAGTGAACTTTTCATGATTTTGTGCACATGTTTATCATGCTTACGAACACACGCAAGGCGCACTCTTCTAACTGAATCCTGCGTTTTACTTGCGCAGCATGCGCGTACCACATCGTCTAAGCACGCAAAACGACAGGGTCGTCTGCTGGCGTGGCAATAAAAGTGATGCGCAGCGGCGAGCCAGTTCGGTTGACATGAGAATGTGCGTGAGCCTTGCAGCGCCACCCTGGCAGTGTACACTTGGTGAACTACAGGCCGACAATTTGGCGACCGGAAGGAGTGATCCTGCTCCATAGTTGTTCTGCTCCTCGCTATCTACCACAATGCCGCACATTGATTCTACGCGCACCCACGAGCGGCGGCACATGTACCGTCAGCCGCACTCTCCGAGTGTCCTGTTTCAATCAGTGGATACTGTACCTACACGTCCACTCCTGCTAGAGTATACATCACTTTCATTATTCCTTATTCCATTTCCCACTCGGACACGGTAAAAACTAGAGAGTCTGAAATTGAATTGTGGCATGTCAAGTGTTCGTTCAGTGACAGTGCTATGCAGCCGAGAGGACAAAAACATATACATGTGTTTTTTTTTCTTTACGCACTGCAAAATATTGTTAAATATCTCTTATATATAAGCACTTTTCGTCTTCACAGCCAATTTCGGAGGTGGAAGACTTTTGTCACTAATTAGATCAACTAAGAATGATTAATTGACAAAATAATTGGATTAAGTTTTTTAGTATGAATGTTAGGGTCGTTGTTTATACGGCGAAGTGGTTCTACACGTCGCAATTATAGTGAACCTACTATTTAAAAATTTAAAAATTTCCCGCGTGGTTTCAGAGATCCATCGTCGAATTTCCGGAGTGCAGTGCACCAAAACTATAACGGAACCGAAACTACCGAGTGCACCTGGTGCGTTAGTTCGACCCCTGAGTGATACGCGACGTTACGAACTGTTTAGGCATTCGAAGACGGTCGCCATATTCAATAATTACTCCATCCATTATGAGAACACTCTTGTATCGCAAGGGGAAACACTTTATTATTTTGCAGCAGCTCATAATGGCTTAAACTGTCTATGTTTTAGATTGCTGGATAGGCTGTAAAATATAATATAAATTTTGAGCGCAATTTCTGCAGCATTTCTAAAGTTTTATTGTTAATAGCCAAATTATTTTACTTTGCTCAATTTCACATGTCAGAACCACAATGCGGTTATAAAGCACGTCGAAACTAATTTGAACACTAGGAGTTTTTAACGTGCACCTAAATCTAGAGCGCGCAAATGTTCTTGCATTTCACCCCCCATCGACATCCGACCTATGTGGCCGGGAGTCGCACCCGATTACATAGGCATAGCTAGAAGCTGCTCAGCTGCTAGGACTGGCTAAGATATTCTGGCAGGTAAGCACCGTCGTCTCTGACCCAGTGTCTGTAGCATAGCCGGTCGGTAACAAACAGAGCCCATTCCCCCCCCCCTCCTTTAATTTATTACAATTTTGCTTTTCCACAGAATGCACCGCACAAAATGGCACTCAACCACATATGCCTGCCTGCACCCCTTCTTCCATTCGAAGCAGTGCCCCTCCCCCCCACCTAAAAAAATAAGAACAATCTTCTACTTAAGCTCTTGTTCGCTAAAAACATGTCCACCATGGCGGTTTGCTGATGTATGTTATACCAAATAACTCTAACGAAAAAAGGGTTTGCTGTAAATCAATGCATAAATTATTTTCACGGAATATCATGACCCAGACACGTCTTGACGCATGATGCAGCCATTCGTGTTTAGAAAAGTTTTATCTCATCATAGGACGCTACGAAAACATGGAAACAGTAGCTACACAACAAGGGCATTACCATACACAAATGACTTGTTTAGAAAATTTTATTTAAACTAAATTTATTTAAACTATGCTTGACAAATCAATGACTCTGTGTTTAGAAAATCGTTTGACGACTTAGAGTATAGTTCATGCTCTTTATATGGCATAGCATAAGCCGTCCCAGATCTGAATTCGGCAACACAGATGATTGTTTGTTTAGCATAAATCAGCGCTTTAGAGTAAACACACACCACTAAGGAAGAGCCTTAAGCTGTACCGGATGAACGCAGGCGGGAAGGCTGCCAATCCTCAGCGTTTTATTTTTTTTTTCAGAAAAAGTATGTTCGACCATTTTCCGTACGACGTACTATACTAATGCTGTTCCAACACCAGCAGTCATCACACTAGTGTGTTTAGATAAAATATTTGACGATACACTTTGATATAGGTGAACATGTGTTTAGAAAAAGTGGGTAACGATTTTGAGTACTAGGTACTCTACTATAGGAGAGCTTAAAGCCCTCCAATTGGCCTCACCAATAGACAAAAAATTAAGTCGTGACCGAGTTTCATTGTTGTGTTTTAGAGAAAGTGGGTAACGATTCAGAGTACTAGCATTGTTCCGCCACATGGCATTCCACTATGGGAGAGCATAGAGCCGTCCCGTGGGCCTCACACTTCATGAGACCCTGCTGACTAATATGAACGAGCATTTAGAAAAAGTGGTTGACGATTCAGAGCACTAGGTACTCTACTATGGGAGAGCTTGAAAGCCGTCCCGAGAACATTTCAAAACACAGACATTAATGGTGCGTTGCCATACGGCGCGCTTGAATCTCGATTAACGAGCTGCTGACGGTTTGATAAACACAATTCAGTTGCTTCCAGAGGTCATAACGATTTCAACAAGCTTATCGAAATGCGGCCCTCAAAGGCGGACCGGTCACTTTGTACCTGTATGCGCCATGTCCAGTAACTGACAATTTATCAATCGGGGGTTTGTCACTGCTTAGCAGTTTTTTAAATATGGAAATTTGATCTTTTACCGTAATGACTCGACAAGAACAGTTAAACGCGAACGCATGACCATCGTCGCTACCTGTTGTGTTGTTAAAGAACTTGGTGTGCAAAGCATGAGGGTCTGACTTATGGCATGGAGGAAGAAAACAGTTGGAACGGAGCAATGCGACAGAAAGAAAGAAAGAAAGAAAGAAAGAAAGAAAGAAAGAAAGAAAGAAAGAAAGAAAGAAAGAAAGAAAGAAAGAAAAGCAGTGTACAGGCATGCCCAAGCCCTTCGCTTGGCCCCCTTTCCCGAGAGAGCAAGGGTACACACGGGATCCAATCAACTCTTCATGTTTTGTTTGCGTTGGCTTTTTATACGAAAGGACAAAACGATTGAATAACTTGAATGTGAAATTAGATATAACATGCCTCCAGGAAATTGCTTTTAATGTTCGTATTTAAGCTGTCTTTCGTATCGTTCTTGTACCCGTGTCTACTATGTGACAGGCTTGTCAGCCGCCAAGCTGCTGTCCGAGCGTGGCATTGACGTCACCATACTCGAAGCACGTGGCCGGGTCGGAGGCCGCCTGTTTACCATAAAGGTGGGTGTTTACTTGTTCGAAGTGCTTGTATGAGTAGTGTAACACTATGTCACAGATGTCGGTAAAAATGAAAAATATCGAAGCATTATTGTCTCCTAACAAAGCTGATGAACGTACGACAAAATGAAAATTCTTAAAATGACAGCATTAAAGAGGCCCTGCAACACTTTGTGAGCATGTTCAGAAAACGGTGCTAAATGTTATAGCGCAGCACGCAGCCTGAAATTCACAATAAATTACCTAAGTCACCTAGAATTTTGCTTTCTCTTCTTTCGACAAATGACGGAAGACGCTCAAAAATCACTCGTAGAAGGCTATCTGTCAGCCATTGGTTGATTTGAACATGGTGCGCTCGGTCGTTACAGGAATCGCCGCGAGATGCCGTGACTTTTTCATGGATGCACACCGCAATCCACTAAAAAAAGCCGCGTTTCGAAAAAAAAAAAAAACTCCAAGCATTTTTCTGAGGGTGAACATGGTTAAGTGCGAATACACGGGTGATGGCTATGAGGGGTATTTATTAATTCGCACTATTATATTTATTAATCACACTATGGTGCCTTTATGGTGTAATGGTTCCTGGGAATCGCAATTTGATCACACGGGGGAGTTTACGTTAACTCACTGGCGAATGCCAACGGATTTTAACTTTACTCCCCCTCACGACCCGCTCTCGACGGAGACTGAGAGAGAAGGCGGGCGCGCGAGAGAGAGGGGTGCGCGCGCAGCTGCAGCGAGTGAGGAGAGCGGAGGAGCGAGCGAAGGGGGAGGGGGTATAAGGCGCGTTACTGACACCGATATCAGCGTCGCGTCCGTGGCATATTCGGTAGAGCGTCGCGCTGCGGCCCGCCAAGTCCTCTTTCTTTTAAAGATAGAGAGAAGACTGCGGACGCCGCCGACGGCGGTGGATGGTTTGGGGTCGCTTATAAAGTGTATTCACACTTAAAAAAAAGTGCTCAAGGTTACGAGGCTCCCGTGACGTTTTTCTTTGCCCATGCCATCCCTCCTTGTTTAGCTTCCAGCGCTTTCCGGTGGTTTGTTAAAGTTTTTAAGACTGTAAACAGTCTTGAAAACAAACCGCCGGAATCAACGCGGTGATAAACCCATGTCCGCACCTTTCAGCTTCACTGAAGAACTTGTACTAAGTGCTTCAATGGCACATACAACGAGATAATATACTTGCGAACGGGAAATGCAACAAGGATGGCGAGGAGACCCACCGCATCTGCCGAGAACGACGACGTGCCCGAATAGATTTATGGAAGGTGTAAGCACTCAGTTAAGGGAGCTTCTGGCTCGGGAGTTTGGAAGTCCGTCTCGTGTCTGCGACTGCCTGTTGTTTAACGATCAACCGAGACACAACACAGCATCACCTAGCTAAAGCTTAGCAGCAACCGGGCAGCAACCTAGAAAGCCTAGTATCACCCATAGCTAAAGCCTATCAACAACCTAGTATCTCCTATAGCTAAAGCCTTTTGTAACAACCTATAAACAACCCAACGTCATCTAGCCAAAGCCTATAGTAACAAGGGAAGCAACTGAGAAAGAACTAGCATTACCTAGATAAGACCTATAGCAAAATATTACAGATGCAACCGCACTAGTCTTCAAAATTATCCGGCTTCGCTGTTTCAACCACTGAAAGTTTCAACCCCCCCCATTTTCGATCACTTAATTTCATTTTAATATACTTCATGATTCCAAGACTACAATTGAAGACAACGAATAATATCGTCTGATGCTTTCCAGTTGGCTAAATTGTCTGTCGATTCGTATGTTTGTGTAACAAAGAGACGGGCTTCAAAAAGCTCTTTAACCATACATGACGTACTCCAAGAAAGAGTTGTGAGAGGTGTGTGAATAGCGAACTTTAGAACCGAAATCAAATAGGAATCGAATACACATACAAATCGAATAATATTCGAATAGTTTACGAATAGCAAGGTTACCATTTTCAATGCAGCCATACAATGGCAATGCCACCGTTATTGAAACAGCCCAAGAACTCCACAGTATCTTCTGTGAAATTAATCACTCTGTATAGAGATGGGGAATGAGATTAAGATTCCAGAAGCGAGGTAAGAGAATAGCAATAAAAAGAAAGAATATAAACAAATATGAAACGCGCTAGTAAACTTGACAAAAGATATTAATAACCATGGCGTCAGTCTTTGGACATGAAATATTCAATCGTTTAATCTCTTCGACAAGGCTATATTCAGAAAGGTAATTGAAGAGCGACTGTCAAACCCGTCTCTGTTTCGTTTTGTCGCGCAACGGGCCTAATGTGCTGTGCAACGCATAACAGTTTCAAGTATACGGTACTACTGTTACGTGAGGCTGTTGCTGACCTCCCCTCCCCCTTTCTCTCTCTGCAAAGAATGATTTGGTTGGCTGGGTGGACCTGGGTGATCGTACGTGGGCCCCACGCAGAACCACATCCTGCGTCTCGCCAACGAACTGCAAGTGGACACGTATAAGATATTCGACGACCTCAAGTTGCTGCACTTCAGCGAGGTACGTATATACGCGTGAAGACGCGAGCCCATCCGTTTCACCTCCATCGCCCGCTTTCCTTTCTTTACTGCATTCCTCCTTTTTTTTCTCTCTTTCTGTCCTCCTATTTTCATATTCCTCTATCTATTTCGTCCTCCCAAAAGAGTAGGCAGGCGTTGTGCCTCTCCAGGTGGCAGTTGTTAGCCTGGGCGCTCCCTCATTCCCCTGTGTCCTTGTGCATTTTTGTATGCAGATCAAATAAATAAATGCATAGCCTCCCATACACCATATATGAAGCTTTTTGCCACCATACCAATTACCATAGCCTGCTATATAGGAGATGGTAAATGAGGTGTGACGGATTCCGTGTGTTTATATATACTCACAGGGCAAGGCGTACCCGTACGAAACCACGTGGGCCCACTTCGGCCTCAATGACCCCCCTTGCTGGTTCGACATCAACTACGTCCATGCGCAGGATGGACATTATGATGGAGCAGGTATGCAGAACGACGTGGTAATTAAGATTTAATTAGGTGACCTTGGGGCAAGAGAAAATGAGCTAAAGTGGCACTGCGAGACATCACCCATTAAAATTTCGAGTAAACGACATCAATGCTGTTAGTTTCATAGCCTCCCCAAACTTTAGGAAAGGTTTGTAATCATAAATTGTAAAGATCGAGAACGATAATGGTTGCACTTATAATTCAATCACCGCTGCGGAGGAAACTGTGCATAAGATCGCGGCACCTACATTGTAGGGAGAGACGTACGCCTGGTAATGAGGAAAGGAGTATACGTAGCCCGTTCTCCATTACCAGGTGACGTCAAGTTAGCTCGCGCCCATTGTGGACTGTTGCGACCGGCCTATGCTGCCCCTAGAGAACCGGGATGAAGATGCCGAGGCAGCAGGAAGGTGAACAGAGGGTTTATTTACATTGCGTACATGGCAAGCGCTCTCTCAATTGATCTGAGTGGCTCATTAATTAGAGTCATTATAAAGGGTACGTTCTACTTTGAATCCTGAAATCGGGGAAAAAGTGCAGATTGCACTGTCCAATCACGTGTCGCATACAACTTCGAGGTGTGACGCCCACACCCCACCCAGGTAAATGGCCCCTATTGGGTCGTGGCCAGTCCACTGCACAAGTCGCAAGAAGGGGCTCTTCCTGGTCTTTTGAGCGCCGCTGGGTGAGGGGTCCCACACTCAGACGACAAGATGTATCAAAAGGGGCTGCCGCAACAAAGTTCAAAAGGTCCGCCGATCTGCTCGCTCAATTAGCGGGGGCAAGTTGTCGTTGCAGCTGACGCCGCTGTCTCATCCAAGGAAGACGTTGCGTCTGCGGAAACCATTGTGGGTCTTCTCGGGTAACTGTTTATGGCACCTGACGGCACGATGCCTCGCTTTGCGGCTAGTAAGGACAATTATTACATGGCAGACATCAGGCCCGGCAGCCCTTCGGCGACTTCTTTGACGAAGGAAGAACGCAGCTCCCTCGTCGGCCCAGGCGCCGGTCGTAACAGGACCAAATAGTTATCTCACTCACTCACATGCAAGAGGAAAAAAAAAAAAAGACTAACTCACATGCAAGGAAAAAAAAAACAGCACAAACTTGGAAAGCTTGTGTCAAATACTTCGTCGGAAGTATTTTACACCAAGTTGCCAAGTTCGAAATAAATCGCAAGTGGTTTCATCGTGTATCCAATTAAGCACACTGCCTACTATATATTATGATTTTATAGACCTCGCGATAAAACAATTTTGCGGCTCCAAAACTTGTTGCCATAATATTCAGTCATATATGTCGAACATTTGGCTTACGTTGACAGCACACGAAAAGAAACGGATTGAGTGTCTATAGTGTACAGTCGATCCAAGTAATTGTTTCAAAAGTATCAGGTTGTGAACCAAGGCTGAATTCGCAAGGCCTTTCTTAGTGCCCTTTATCGTCGTATGCTTTATTATTGCACAAGAATCACTTTAATTGTTTTCGTGAACAATTACAGGTTAAGTGAATTATCTTTTGTTGGTTCTAGTTCATTTAGGTCCTTAGCTTAAGTTAGGTGAGTCTAGGTTAGGTTAGGTTAAGTATAGCTATTGACTTCCAAACATAGCTGCTGAAACATACAAGTTTTGCAAAGTAAGTATTCATTCATTTCTGTAAATGAAACTTTTCTTTACAACAACTACAGAACAACATTAATAATACACAACAAACAACAACAACAATAATAATAATAATAATAATAATAATAATAATAATAATAATAATAATATAATAATAATAATAATAATAAAATAATAATAATAATAATAATAATAATAAATAATAATAATAATAATAGACCAATTTATCACGTTGCTTGATGTCACACCCATGGTCCTACTTTCACTGCCCAGAGAGCATCTTACCAAATATCGCGGAAATCCGCTACGTACAAAAATCTCCAAACTTAAATACTTGTATCTTTTTATATCATGAGCATTATAAAATATCCAGAACAGAGCATCCACTTGAACCAAGAACTAACCACCCTAAACAATACGGCTACCTAAGTGTCATAACATTATTGAACACGATTTTTCCGTCATCTACAGCATTCTGGAATAAACTGTCATCAGCCTGCTGCGAACTGTTATACCATAGAATCACCAACTCAAGATATGAAAAATATTCATTTGTCCTAATGGCTTATCAGTAGTACGAGGATAAATTACTGCACAAGATGACGAGAGGTAATGAGTAGGGCTGCATGGATTATTATAAAACTGCTATGTATTCTTACAGTTGTGTGTTCAGCCCCCTGTGAACGGAACATTGAATCTTGACACTGTTTTTCTTTTACGCTATACCAAGTACTCTAACTTTATTGAGCAATGAATCGTTTCCTTCGCACTGTGTTCGTCTCTCTGCTTGCGACTCAATTTTAATTCTAAGGTGTATCCACTGCTGTTTGAGCAGGTTCTGCAGTATACTGAAAAGAAAAAAATTGACGGCAGCGTGAAAGAATCAATTTAAAACGGGCATACGTTTAGTACCGGCGTTCAAGTTTTCCGTCTCGCCCATGTCAGACAACGCAGTTGTGAGTCATGTGCTCCGCATGCAGGTCCCGCTGTAATCTCGTGAACTGTCCCCACGCGGAGAATGGGACGCTATGACCGCTGCAGACTTCTTCGAGAGGAGTCATGGACGAAGTACGTATCCGTTTTATTTCGATAGCAAATATACGAACACCCCAGGGCACCTGCACTATTGCCGTCGCCGTTGGTGACACCGTGAGTGCTTGTGTAAAATCAAAGGGCTACAACTTGCACGTTATTAACAAATCAGTATGTACTAATCGGGTCGCCTGCCGTAAACAAAGCGAGTGAACGGAAGCTTAACTTCCGAAACCTTACAGGCTCATTCGCAAATCTGTCCCAACAGAAATTTACATTTCGCGTCTTATTACAGTCATTCGGTGCTTCTATGCAGCGCGATTGCTGACAAGACGCTTCTCCCGATTTTCCTCATCAGTGGTACATCTTAAACATTCGCCGCACGAATATCTGTGCCTCCGATGCTCGGCAATCTACATTCATGCCGTATGCCATAATTTTCTTTGAAATAAACCAGATTTCCAATTTTGAATACGCAACGCAATCCAACGAGTCTAAGAAAACGCAATACACCGAGTTGAAGAAAATATCTTCATAACTGGTAATATAAAAGTATTATATTAAAAAATTCGGCACATTTCACGTACCTTGGGAATTGACGTTATGCGAAGCATGCGGAGGGAAGGTCACCGCGTTGTAATTTTTTTTATTGAGCGACACGTCATGAACTGACACTAAATATATGTATAAATTTTGCACGCACAGACAAACGTTGAAGAGTTGCACGTGTTTATATAACCAGTTGTTTGCGCTTGCACAACGATTCCAACAGGAACATGATTGATTGATGATTGACATGTGGGGTTTAACGTCCCAAAACCACCATATGATTATGACAGACGCCGTAGTGGAGGACTCCGAAAATTGAGACCACCTGGAGTTCTTTAACGTACGCCAAAATCTGAGCACATGGGCCTACAACACTTCCGCCTCCATCGGAAATGCAGCCGCCGCAGCCGGGATTCGATCCCGCGACCTGCAGGTCAGCAGCCAAGTACCTTAGCCACTAGACCATCGCGGCGGGGCCAACAGGAACACGAGTATTAGCAACAGCAGAAGCTGAAATGAAGCGCTAAAGCTCGCGAGGATGCTGGCCTTGGACGCTGCTACACAAATCAACTTCAACGCATGAAACCTAACTACAATTTACGTTAACCCGACGTGTCGGCTATATTATAGGAGTGCATATGATTAATATGTGGGGTTTCACGTTCCAAAACCACCATATGATTATGAGAGACGCCGTAGTGGAGAGCTCCAGAAATTTTGACCATCTGGGGTTTTTAACGTGCACCCAAATCTGAGCACATGGGCCTACTGCATTTTCGCCTCCATCGAAAATGCTAGGAGTGCATATGTATTTTAATAAAATAGAATAACGACCACTGCAACTTACAATTGACGTTTCACAAACGTTAAGGTCTATTCAAAAAGCAGTTCCGAGAACTGGTGTGGCTCTGTGGTACAATGCTTGATTGCTACGCATAATAATTGGGCTCGATTCCCGCTGGGACCCTGATATTTATTCTTTGTATTCGTCGGGTAAATGCTGCCGATGTCAGGTTTTTCTTAACGATGCGTTAAAATTGTCCATATGTGTTCTCGTCGCTCCTGGGTAGACAATATAAGTGACAATCACCTGTGGCACATCATACCCGCATGCCAGCGGCACATACCCTGTCATATCATATGATATCATATCATGGATGGACGAACGGACAGACAGACAGACGACAGACAGACAGACAGACAGACAGACAGATAGATATAGATAGATAGATAGATAGATAGATATAGATAGATAGATAGATAGATAGATAAGCCGAAAGTACTTGGCGTATAGGCGAAGAAATCCTTCGCATTTAAAATAACGCACAGTACGTTTATGCCAGCCAAAATATTAACGTATTTTTTGTGTGCCGGTATTTTTTCCTTGTATTGAGAGCTGGATCTATAGATTACACGCTGTCAGATCAAAGTGTCAGCGCATTTTTCGTTACTACTATGCTCCCGCTCCACCGCGATGGTCTAGTGGCTAAGGTACTCGACTGCTGACCCGTAGGTCGTGGGATCCAATCCCGGCTGCGGCGGTAGCATTTTCGATAGAGGCGAAAACGCTGCAGGCCCGTGTGCTCAGATTTGGGTGCACGTTAAAGAACCCCAGGTGGTATAAATTTCTGGAGCCCTCCACTACAACGTCTCTCACAATCATATGGTGGTTTTGAAACGTTAAACCCCAAATATCATCATCATCACTATGCTCCCGTCTCTGGAAAAACATCGACCGTAATATCTTTCCGCTTGTCATTGCAAGAGTATGACATAGAGGTTCTGGTTGCGTTGAGCAGTTAGTTGCATGCCGGGAGGAGCTGCGTGACTGTGTCATAAACGAAGCAATCCAGTTTATATATTTATCATGTGGAGTTAGGCACTACAACACAGTATACTAGGTGCCTTTATCTGGTTACCAGCTCATTATGCCGCTCTCGCATAAGTTATGTTCACGTATCTTACCTAGCCACGAGAAACCTGCACTGGGCAGTTGGCGGTGTACGTTAAAATGGAAACAATGTAGGTTGCACGGCGGGCTTGCTCTGTGCCACCCTGGATGCGATGTATGCATCGGATAATATAGAGACTATAGCCCTTCGATGCAAAATCGATCAAATTTATGGTGTTGAAACATATCTAGCCGCTTTAAGTTATGAACAGGTAAACCGCGCTTTCCTTATATCATTTTTTTTCACCGAGACAACGTACCAAGGTCCTATTTTTAGTAAAACATGCAGTAACTGTCAGACATGTAGGTCTTACATTTCACTTCCTGCAAAACAATTTCGTTGTGCTTTCTGGGCAAGATCTGGTATAATCGTGCCGGAAGATAAGAAAGCTCGCATACGAATAATCACTAACATATGGCACCTACATATCTCGAAGAAATAGCACACCAGTACACGTAGTGGAGCCGCCACTTAATTTAATTCTTTAACGAAGCGGGGCAGTCGGGGGCGACCGGATGCACTACCCATCCGGCTGGGGCGACCGGATACGGAGAGACCGGATACTCGTATAGCACTGAACAAAACAGAAACCTTATAATTTACCACGCAAGCAATAAGAATTTCGGGGGCTGAGGTTAACTGTGAAATGAAAAAAAAAAAGAAGAAGTTGCGAAGGTCAGTTAGTCGGGAGAGATCAATGCTTCGACGATCACCCGTCAGGATGCCGACCACATGGGAAAAGAATGTATTGTCTTTTTATCCAGTCAAAGCGCCACTGCGCCGGTACAGTCGTGAGAAGAATCAATTGTTGGACTTTTACGACCCACAACCCCGATATGATCGTGAAAATCATCGCAGTGGAGGGCTCCGGAAGGTCGACCACCTGGGATACTTTAACGTGCACCTAAGCCTTCGCACGCGGAGCCGATGTTTTCACATCCACACGAGACGGCGTCCCCCTGGTGGTCTCGTAATTGAAGAGCGACTGTCAAACCCATCTCTGTTTCGTTTTGTCGCGCAACGGGCCTAATGTGCTGTGCAACGCATAACAGTTTCAAGTATACGGTACTACTGTTACGTGAGGCTGTTGCTGACCTCCCCTTCCCCTTCTCTCTCTGCAAAGAATGATATGGTTGGCTGGGTGGACCTGGGTGGATCGTACGTGGGCCCCACGCAGAACCACATCCTGCGTCTCGCCAACGAACTGCAAGTGGACACGTATAAGATATTCGACGACCTCAAGTTGCTGCACTTCAGCGAGGTACGTATATGCGCGTGAAGACGCGAGCCCATCCGTTTCACCTCCATCGCCCGCTTTCCTTTCTTTACTGCATTCCTCCTTTTTTTTTCTCTCTTTCTGTCCTCCTATTTTCATTTCCTCTATCTATTTCGTCCTCCCAAAAGAGTAGGCAGGCGTTGTGCCTCTCCAGGTGGCAGTTGTTAGCCTGGGCGTTCCCTCATTCCCCTGTGTCCTTGTGCATTTTTGTATGCAAATCAAATAAGTAAATGCATAGCCTCCTATATACCATATAGGAGCTTTTTGTCACCATACCAATTACCATAGCCTCTTATATAGGAGGCTATGGTAAATGAGGTGTGACGGAATTCCATGTGTTTTATATACTCACAGGGCAAGGCGTACCCGTACGAAACCACGTGGGCCCACTTCGGCCTCAACGACCCCCTTGCATGGTTCGACATCAACTACGTCATGCGCAGGATGGACATTATGATGGAGCAGGTATGCAGAACGACGTTGCAATTAAGATTCATTAGGTGTCTTTGGGGGTAAGAGAAAATGTGCTAAAGTGACACTGCGAGACATCCCCATTAAATTTCGAGTAAACGACATCAATGCTGTTCATTTCATAGCCTCACAAATTTTAAGAAAGGTTTGTAATCATAAATCATAAAGATCGAGAACGATAATGGTTGCACTTATTTCAATCATCGCTGCGGAGGAAAACTGTGCATAAGATCACGGCACCTACACTGTAGGAAGATACGTACGCCTGGTAATGGGGAACGGAATATACATAGCCTGTTCTCCATTACCAGGTGATGTCAAGTTAACTCGCGACTATTGTGGACTGTTGCGACAGGCCTTTGCAGCCACTAGAGACCCGGGATGAGCCGAGGCTGCAGGAAGGTGATTGATTGATTGATTGATTGATTGATTGATTGACATGTGGTGTTTAACGTCCCAAAATCACCATATGATTATGAGAGACGCCGTAGTGGAGGGCTCCAGAAACTTAGACCACCTGGGGTTCTTCAACGTGCACCCAAATCTGAGCACAAGGGCCTACACCGTTTCCCCGCCTCCATCGGAAATGCAGCCGCCGCAGCCGGTATTCGATCCCGCGACCTGCAGGTCATCAGCCGAGTACCTTAGCCACTAGACCACCGCGGCGGGGCAGGAATGTGAACAGAGGGTTTATTTACATTATGTACATGGCAAACGCTCTCTCGATCGATCTGAGTGTCTCATAATAAAGGGTACGTTCTCCCCAGATCCTTAGATCGGGGACAGAGTGCAGATTGCACTGTCCAATCACATGTCACATGCAACTTCCGAGGCTGACGCCCACACCCACCCAGGTAAATGGCCCCTATTGGGTCGTGGCCAGTCCACTGCACAAGTCGCACGAAGGGGCTCTTCCTTGTCTTGTGAGCGCCGCTGGGTGAGGGGTCCCACACTCAGACGACAACATGTATCAAAAGGGTCTGCCGCAACAAAGTTCAAAAGGTCCGCCGATCTGCTCGCTCAAATAGCGGGGCAAGTTGTCGTCGAATCTGACGCCGCTGTCTTTTCCAAGGAAGACGTTGCGTCTGCGGAAACCATTGTGGTCTTCTGGGGGAACTCTTTACGGCACTTGAAGGCACGACGCCTCACTTTCCGGAAGTGAGGACAATTAATACATGGCAGACATAAGGCCGGCAGCTCGTCGGCGACTTCTTTGACGAAGGAAAAAATTGCCCGCAGCTTCCCTCGGGGGAACACTGAGGAGGATGCGGAGCATATAATTGGTTAACGGGGTGTTAAAGTGCGACTTACTTGGGTCGATGGCTAAATTGGTTAACGTGGTTGTGAAATGGGGTGTTAAATTGCGACTTACTTGGGTCGATGGCTAAATTGGTGAACGTGGTTGTAGGAGGGGGTGTTAAATGAGTGAACACGTACACACGTATGCGAAAATGTGGATGCTACGGCCAGAATTTGATTCCGCGACCTTCGGGTAAATAATAAATCACGAAAACCACTTGTTATCGCAGCGAGTATGACTATAGGAACTCGTAGGCTCTGCTTGATTTAGCTAGAAATTGGTTTGTGGAACACTCCGAGAGTGTTCGACACTTATTCGAACCATTGTTTCGATAACTCCAGCAGTGCTGATTGGCCGACAGTGCCCGGTATCCTTAGCGTAGAGCGAGCAAGCGTGCAGCACAGCAATGGAGTCCTCCTGGTGACGTCATGGGAGATAATGATCCGGCCTATGATTCCCCTCGTTTATAAATATATAGGTCAAGTTTATTCATTAATTAGTCACAATAGCGTTTACTGTGAGATGTCAGTGCACGTTAAAGGACACCAGATGGTCAAAATTTTCAGAGTCCTCCATTGCGGCGTCTCTAATAATTATTTCGCGGCTTCGGGACGTAAGCCCCTACATTAACAACAACAACAACAACAACACAACAACAACAACAACAACAACAACCACAACAACAACAACAACACAACAACAACAACAACACAACAACAACAACACACAACAACAACAACAACAACAAAATATTATTATATTATTATTATTATTATTATATTATTATTATTATTATTATTATTATTATTATCATCATCATCATTATTATTAATTGCCACAGTGCACGATGAATCTGAACTTATTGCCGCGACATTCAAGAATTTAAACATTTAATAATGGACATGTTTCTTGAGTCAGATGCTGATGTGTTGTACAATTTTTAATGTAACTTTCACTACACAAATAGTAATGATACTCGGCGATTGGATTGTAATGTTATTAAATGTTATTGTTATTACTATAGCTATTTACCACATTATTGATGTTTGTTGTTTTTATTGCATTAGTGCTTATGTTGCTACTGTGATTACATTATTACTTAACGTTCATTACTGTCGCTACGTGATTACTATATGGTTGATTATAAGCTTACTATAATAATGATTACGTCCTTGTTGATTCAGAATTTCCCAAGTTGACCTGTTTTCAATTTCGTTGCTTCCGCTGCCCCAGTGCTATAGGGCCTGGTCAGGAGGTTTGGATCCTCCTTTCGCCTTAGCCTGTGGGCGAAGCATGTATGCGTGTTACATTGATCCCCTTGTTACGTGGGATCTGCCAATTAAAATGGCGAATAAACAAAGCTTGCACTTGAAAAAATAATACAAATAAAAAAAACATCTTGCCCACATTCAATTAAAGCGGCATCTCCGTGCGCACAGGGCACGCATGCACGCCGTATTGTTTCACGGCACAGCCAGGTGCTCGCACCGACCATCGTTGCACGAGCACCTGGCTGGACCCATCAGCTTCTCACGAAGAGGAAAAAAAATTCCGCCATATCCACGAAGTGAATGATGATGAGTGGGCGAAGCTCCGGAGGTAAACCTGGTAAACCATGATCCTCTGTACATTTTGCCCACTCGATTTTATTACATCGCTCCCCCTAGCGTACGTCGCCGCACTAAATCGAACGAGTGCCTTCAACCAATGACACGCGCCATATGTGACATCATTCCTATTTTATAAGATCTCGCGTCTTTCATCAACTACAAGTACCGCTTTCTGGTTTATAACATCTTGCATCTTTTCATCATCAGCTACAAGTACCACCATCTAGTAAACACTACAAGAACTAAACGAGAGGTGGCTACATACAGGAGACGGTACCGCCATCTTATGAACACTGCAAGAACTAAACTAGAGGTGGCTACATACAGGGGACGGTACCGCCATCTAGTGAACACTGCAAGAACTAAACTAGAGGTGGCTACATACAGGCTACAGGGGACGCACAGCCCACGCCCTAAGGAGCTTCGCCCCTAAAAAACTGATCGGCCTCTTTGGTGTTCGATTGTATCGCAGTTTTACGACTACGGTCTATTTGAATTGTAGACATGGGTTTACTCCTAAGAAATGCATTTCTTTGAGTCATTTGTGTACTTCAGTATCACTACAATATGAAGAAAATGCAATAACAAAGGTTGTGTTGCATGCGTACGTACGTAAGAAATTTGGGGCTTGTGCAACCCAAAATTTCGACCAGTGGAGCGGTCTTCGTCAGGGTTTTCGTGACCCTGAAGAAGATCGGTCCACCGGTTGAAACATCTTTTACTTACAATACGGCATTACAACTTCACATGCAAGCTTACGCACGCCTGTGTGCAACCTTCCTCCCACCCCCAACCCTTTCACGCACACACGCGAAAAAGCGAGAAAAATAAAGCGATGTAAAAAAGGTCGTCATGTGGCAATTCATTTACCTGAACGAGTTGGCTTCGCGATTTTCGCCTAAATTTAATCGCATGTGATGGTGCTCTCGAAAAAACCCTTCCAGACTTTTGAACGAGAGATTTAATAGGCTGATCCATAGGGATACAATCGCATTATATGTGATACGCACGGGGCAAGCGAAATATACGCATGTTAGCGAGGCCAGTCATAACTTTTATTCTTCAATTCGCACGCGCTCAGGGGCTGCCGCGACTACCTGAGTGCCCTGGCGCAGGTAAGCCTGTCCAATGAGCCAAGCCAGGTGTCCCTGCTGTGGGCGCTGTGGTACATCAAGTGCTGCGGAGGGAACCGTAGGATGTGCAGCACATTCAATGGAGCACAGGTAAGTCATTTCGTGGCCTCACCACAGCTGCACGCAATGGAACGATGGCCAGGCTTTCGCGGCCAAAATATGTACGCTACAGTGCCCTTGGGGTATTCCGTGGAGATTTCACAATTTATATGAAGAGCACCTATAAGGCCGGATTCTGTAGAGGAAAAATCTGCTAAAAATATTTTTGCAGCTCCAAAACTTGTTGCCATAATAATCAGTCATATATGTCAAACCATTTGTTTTACGTTCACAGGCACTCGAAAAGAAACGGATCGAGTGTCTATAGTGTACAGTCGATCCGAGTAATTGTTTCAGAAGTATCAGTTTGTGAACCAAGGCCGAATTCGCAAAACCTTTCTTTGGTGCCCTTTATCGTCGTATGCTTTATTATTGCATCAGGAATCACTTGAATTTGTTTTCGTGAACAATTACAGTTTAAAGCGAATTATCTTTTCATTGGTTTCTAGTAAACGCAGGTCCTCAGGTTAGGTTAGGTGAGGTTAGGTTAAGTATAGCTATTGACTTCCAAACATGGCTGCTGAAATAAAGTTTTGCAAAGTAACTTATTCAGTCATTTGCTGTAAATGAAACTTTTCTTTACAACAACTACAACACACATTAATATATAATAATAATATAATAATATATAATAATAATAATAATAATAATAATATAATAATAATAATATATAATAATAATAATAATATAAAATAATAAATAATAATATACTATTATAATAATAGACCAATTTATCACGTTGCTTGATGTCACACCCATGGTCCCACCTTCTCTGCCCAGAGAGCATCTTACCAACAATCGCGGAAATCCGCTACGTAGAAAAATCTCCAAACTTAAATTCTTGTATTTTTTATATCATGAGCATTATAAAATATCCAGAACAGAGCATCCACTTGATCCAAGAACTAACCACCCCAAAACAATACGGCTACCTAAGTATCATAACATTATTGACCACTATTTTTCCGTCATGTATACAGCATTCTGGAATAAACTGTCATCAGCTGCTGTGAACCGTAATACCATAGAATCACCAACTCAAGATATCAAAAATATTCATTTGTCCTTAATGGCTTATCAGTACGAGGATAAATTAACTGCACAAGATGACGAGAGGTAATGAGTAGGGCTGCATGGATTATTATAAACTGCTATTTATTCTTACAGTTTGTGTGTTCACTCCTGTGAACGGAACATTGAATCTTTGGCACTGTTTTTTTTTACACTATACCAAGTACTCTTTATTGAGCAATGAATTGTTTCCTTCGCACTGTGTTCGTCTCTCTGCTTGCGACTCAATTTTAATTATAATGCGTATTTGCTGTTTTGAGCAGGTTCTGCAGTATATTGAAAAGAAAAAAATTGACGGCAGCGTGAAAGAATCAATTTAAAACGGACATAACTTTTAGTACTGGCGTTCAAGTCTTCGTCTCGCCCCTGTCAGACAACGCAGTTTGTGAGTCATGTGCTCCGCATGCAGGTTCCCGCTGTAGATCCGTGGAACTGTCCCCACGCGGAGGAGTGGGATGCTATGACGCTGCAGAGCTTCTTCGAGAAGGAGTCGTGGACGAAGTACGTATCCGTTTTATTTCGATAGGAAACTCCATGGCACATGCACTTCGGCCGTCACCGTTAGTGTCGCCCTGAGCCCCTGTGTAAAATCAAAGGGCTACAACTTGCAAGTTACTAACAAATAAGTATAAATTAATCGGTTCGCCTACAGTGAACAAAGCGAATGAGCGGAAGCTTTAACTTCCGAAACCTTACAGGCTCATTCGCAAAGCTGTCTAGCCTAACAGAACTTACACATTTTGCGCCTTATTCCAGTCATTTGGTGTTTTTATGCAGCGCGATCGCAGACAAGGCACTTCTCGCGATTTTCTTCATCAGTGGTACATCTTAAACATTCGCCGCATGAATATCTGTGCCTCCGATGCTCTGCAATCTACACTCATGCCGTATGCCATAATTTTCTTTGAAATAAACCAGATTTCCAATTTCGAATACGAAATCAAACGAGTCTAAGAAAACGCAATACAACTAGTTTAAGAAATTATCTTCATAACTGCTAATGTAAAAGTATTATATTAAAAAGTTCGGCACATTTCACGTACCTTGGGAATTGACGTTATGCGAAGCATGTGGAGGGAAGGTCACCGCGTTGTAATTTTTTTATTGAGCGACACGTCATGAAATGACACTAAATGTATGTATAAATTTTGCACGCACAGACAAACGTTGAAGACTTGCGGGTGTTTATATAACCAGTTGTTTGCGCTTGCACAACGATTCCAACAGGAACATGATTGATTGATGATTGACATGTGGGGTTTAACGTCCCAAAACCACCATACGAATATGACAGACGCCGTAGTGGAGGGCTCCGAAAATTGAGACCACCTGGGGTTCTTTAACGTACGCCCAAATCTGAGCACATGGGCCTACAACACTTCCGCCTCCATCGGAAATGCAGCCGCCGCAGCCGGGATTCAATCCTGCGACTGCAGGTCAGCAGCCGAGTACCTTAGCCACTAGACCATCGCGGCGGGGCCAACAGGAACACGAGTATTAGCAACAGCAGAAGCTGAAATGAAGCGCTAAAGCTCGCGAGGATGCTGGCCTTGGACGCTGCTACACAAATAAACTTCAACGCATGAAACCTAACTACAATTTACGTTAACCCGACGTGTCGGCTATATTATAGGAGTGCATATGATTAATATGTGGGGTTTCACGTCCCAAAACCACCATATGATTATGAGAGACGCCGTAGTGGAGAGCTCCAGAAATTTTGACCATCTGGGGTTTTTAACGTGCACCCAAATCTGAGCACATGGGCCTACTGCATTTTCGCCTCCATCGAAAATGCTAGGTGCATATGTATTTTAATAAAATAGAATAACCACCCTGAAACTTACAATTGACGTTTCACAAACGTTAGGGTCTATTCAAAAGCAGTTCCGAGACCTGGTGTGGCTCTGTGGTACAATGCTTGATTCCTACGCATAATGATTGGGCTCGATTCCCGCTGGGACCCTGATATTTATTCTTTGTATTCGTCGGTAAATGCTGCCAATGTCAGGTTTTTCTTAACGATGCGTTAACATTGTCCATGTGTGTCGCTACTGGGTAGACAATATAAGTGACAATCACCTGTGGCACATCATACCCGCATGCCAGCGGCACATACCCTGTCATATCATATGATATCATATGGATGGCGAACGGACAGACAGACAGACAGACAGACAGACAGACAGACAGACAGACAGATAGATAGATAGATATAGATAGATAGATAGATAGATAGATAGATAGATAGATAATAAGCCGAAAGTACTTGGCGTATAGGCGAAGAAATCCTTCGCATTTAAAATAACGCACAGTACGTTTATGCCAGCCAAAATATTAACGTATTTTTTGATCGCTAAGCTCGCAGTCGCTGTCGCGTTATTTCCGATTGATCTCGTTGTAACATAATCACTTATTGTTGATTAATATCTACACTTGAACATGTCCACGTCACACAAATTTACAGTTCGTAGATGACTTGTGCGTCGAACACGACAGCCTACCCGAATCATGATAGCTTTATTTTACTTATAAGTTCATCTTACGACTCGCTTAACTTTCGACTTTACTTTCTTATATTTACTTCTTTGGGGGGATGGAGGGGCGGGGGGGGTGGGAGGAGTGGCACGCAAGTTTGGTTGCACTTTGTCGAATTCAAGGTATACTTGTGCAATGACATGCAGGACTAGAAAGGGAGAATCAACGTGCACAATGAGTGCCCCTCTATTTCAACCCACCCCTTACGCACTCTTCTCTTAATTATGCCTTTCATCTCACTTACTAAGCATAATTAACACACGCGTAATTTCACCGTTGCCGCTTTTGTGCCTCTGGTTTGTTTCAGGTAGGGTTGAGTTCAACGCCCAAGCATGCGCCCTTCAGCAAGACGAGAATGGCGTCGTCGTGGGTGTGATCGACGGCAGGGAGTTCCAGGCAAGTTTAACAGCGACCCCACCAAAGGCTACATTCTCGAAACACCATTGTTAAGAACAAGTTCTTGACGCAATGGTCAACACGCATTCTTGAACTATTATAAAAGGTCTGAACATTGTCTTCATTCTAAATCCAGCTTTTTAGACTGCCCGTTGCTTTGGCAGGGAGTATACTTCGAAAGCATTCAAAAAATGGCTTAATTTGTGCTTGAGCCTTCGGAGAGGCGCTTTTTTTTTAAATTTCAGATCATGTTCTCCATGCAGTGATGTGGCTTCTCGCTTAGTGTAACCTAACCTATAGTCTAACAATATTGCAGGCTGATTACGTCATAATGGCAATCCCGCCGCCCCTACAGCTGAAAATTCATTACGAGCCTCCGCTGTCGCCACTGCGAAACCAGCTCATACAACGTACGCCAGTTGGCTCGGCGTTCAAGATGAACATTTATTACCCCAAGCCCTTCTGGAGGGAAGCAGGTATGCACAGACACGTTAGAATAAACCATTACTATGTTGTCGCTTTTCAGAATAAAGTTTCATTGGCATTGAATAAATGATATGTGGTGCCAACATGAACAAGATTCCGGCGCGTACAACAATGCGAGTACAATACACGAACTGTTGAAAGGTACGTAGATACATGCCCAGCGCAATGGTGCACCAATACTGCCGTCATCAACATGTCCCAAGTACGAACATTACTCAAGGTTTAGAGTGAAGGTACAATATTAAAAGTGAAGATCTAGCATATGGTTAGGGTTAACATGTAAAAAAGTTCAATATGTAAATAATGAAGGTTCTCTTTCAACTAAAGGTGTAAACGTTTGTTCCATTCCGTGTATGTACACGTGTTCACTTACACAAAATGTGACAATTTCGGTGATGAGGGTGGGGGGGGGGGGACGTTGAGCGTGGCAGTCAAATCCTACAAGCCACCCTCCTGGGTAGCGCCACTGGTGCGAGACGCCAGCAGTAAACGTCTGTGGTCGTTACTTTCTAGCTCTGCAACTAAGCAACGTAGTCTGAATGCAGAGCTATATATTAAGGCAGGGTTAACGTTCAAACGGGGCTATCTTTTGAAGAGGAGAATTTGTCAGAACACAACCATGAATCCTCACGTAACACTGACTGCCCCTTCACCTGTTTCAAAGGTTGCTCGTTTCCTTCTAATAAGGGAATGAACTCTTGACACGCATTGTTCGCATTATACTAATGAAAATTGCGAAAAGTGAGGGTGAGCTAGCAGTGGACACAACATATCTTAAATTAGTTCGACTGATAGCACGAGGAACGCGGAAACGTATAGCCGGACATGTCAAAATTACGTGCACTGTCAAAGGAAACATCAGCTTTGTGTACTATCTCCTTTGCATTTGACAGGTTATGGTGGAATAGCATCCTGTGCCGACGACAGCCTAGCTTTCAACATTACCACAGACGACTGCAGACCTGGATTATCCCTGGCGGCCCTCACAATGTAAGGTCAACTATCCTTCTGATTTCGATGGCAATGACATAACGCATAGGAATCACAAAACCTTTCATGTGCCATGAGAGTTCTTTCTCGCGATTACGTTTTGCTTTCAGTGACTGTCACAAAACGAGCGCTCAAAAGGGGCGCGCCGCCAAATTCTCGCGACAAAACGCCGGAGTGACGCCGCGAGATCAACGATAAAAAAAGAAAACAAGCATCTAAAGACTCCCCGGGCGCGCGTCCTTCTCCCCTCGGAAGCGTGCGTTCGCCGACGAACCTCCTCTCATCGGCGCCCGAGCAAGCCCTCGAATATTCTAGATGGAAAGGGGCGTGGTGATGCCGGGTTGCGTCATCCGTCGCGGACGGCCTTCGAACCGTCTCGCCCTTTACCCCAGCCTTCGCTGCGCATCGCGCCGACGAAATGGAGAACTTGGTCCCAATTTGAATGATCAGAGGCGACGTACATCGACAGCATACTGCCAAGAGTACGGTTGAAGCGCTCCGTCATGCCATTTGTTTGAGGGTGGTACGCTGTACTTGTGCGGTGCACGATTCGGCATTCGTTGAGTAATGCCTTCAAGGCGTCAGAAAGGAAGGCACGGCCTCTGTCACTTAAGAGCTCGCGAGGGGCACCATGACGCAGAATGAAACGTTGCAACAGAAACGTTCCAACGTCACGGGATGTGGCAGTCGGCAGCGCGGCTGTTTCGGCATAGCGTGTCAGATGGTCTATCGCAACAATAATCCAGCGATTACCAGCTAGAGTTGATGGTAGTGGTCCGTAAATGTCAATGCCGACGCGATCAAAAGGTCGACTAGGACAAGGAAGAGGTTGTGACGGGTAGACTTGCCCGGGAGGTAACTTTTGTCGTTGGCACTGAGCACACGAGCGAATGAATTTTCGAACGTAGTTATACATGCCACGCCAATAAAATCTGAGTCGAAGCCTAGCGTATGTCTTGAAGAGGCCGGCGTGGGCGCACTGTGGGCGCGTGAAAAGCTTCGCAAATGGCAGCTCGAAGATGGCGGGGTATCACAAGGAGACACTTGCGACCGTCAGAAAAGTAGTTGCGTCAATAAAGAAGATCATCCCTTAGGCAAAAGTTGCTAGCCTGGCGGCGGAGAGCGCGAGACGGCGAAGGAGTGAGAGGATCAGAAAGAATGCTTATGAGGCTACTGATCCAGGGATCCTTTCGTTGTTCCACTGTCATGTTGGGCAAGGCGGATGACGCAAGTGCAGGCTCGAGGGAAGAGAGGCAAACATCTTCATCCGATATGGGTGAGCGAGAAAGGGCGTCGGCGTCCGTGTGCTTACGACCAGATCTGTAAATAACGCGGATGTCGTATTCCTGAAGTTTGAGCGCCCAGCGAGCAAGTCGTCCGGAAGGGTCTTTAAGTGTGGATAGCCAACAAAGGGCGTGGTGGTCAGTGACGACGTCGAATGCGTGACCATACAGGTAGGGGCGAAATTTTCCAAGGGCCCAAATAATAGCTAAACACTCTTTCTCGGTCACGGAGTAGTTAGCCTCGGCTTTCGTCAAAGTTCGGCTTGCGTAGGCGACGACATATTCATCAAACCCTGCCTTTCGTTGCGCGAGCACAGCGCTAAGTCCAACACCGCTGGCATCAGTATGAACCTCCGTGGGAGCGGCAGGATCGTAGTGGCGGAGGATGGGGGTGACGTCAGCAGGTGGCGTAATTTGGTGAATGCATCATCGCATGCTGGTGACCAGGTGGAAAGGTCCTTGTCGCCGCTAAGAAGGTCCGTAAGGGGCGCACATACGGAAGAAAAATTTCTAATAAAGCGTCGGAAGTATGACGACAAGCCGACAAAACTTCTAAGTTCCTTCAAGTTCTTTGGCTTCGGAAAATCGGCGACTGCTCGAAGCTTGGCGGGGTCGGGAAGTATGCCGTCCCGCGATACGACGTGGCCAAGAATGGTGAGCTTCCGAGCACCAAAACGACACTTCTTGAGGTTGAGTTGAAGGCCGGCGTCGGTGAGACGTGTGAGGACGTGCTCGAGACGATTTAAATGGGTGTCGAAATCGGTGAAAAAGACAACTATCATCGAGGTAGCATAAACATGTGTTCCACTTGAGGCCTCGTAAAATAGTGTCCATCATTCTTTCGAAAGTGGCTGGAGCGTTACAAAGGCCAAAAGGCATAACGGTAAACTCGTATAACCCATCAGGTGTGACAAATGCTGTTTTCGGTCGGTCAGATGCTTCCATAGGAACTTGCCAGTATCCAGACCGTAAATCCAGCGAAGAGAAGTATTCTGCTTTCTGCAAACAGTCAAGGGCGTCGTCTATTCGCGGTAACGGGTAAACGTCCTTGCGGGTGATCTTGTTTAAATCTCGATAGTCCACACAGAACCGATTGGAGCCGTCCTTCTTAACAAGAACGACCGGTGACGCCCAGGGACTGTTAGAAGGCTGTACAATACCCCGCTGGAGCATGTCAGCAACCTGGTCGTCAATAACACGGCGCTACGACGCTGAGACTCGGTAGGGGCGCTGCCGGGAAGTTGTCTATAGGACCCCCCTTTCATGCGGTGCTTGTTATGTCGGAACGACCGGAAGGTGTCTGAACGATCGGCTGAGAGAACACGCGAACAATGTTAAAAACGGGAAAGATGGTTTTCTTGCTCAGCACTGCACTGAGTGCAATTGTGTTCCCCTCTTCAAGGAGACAGCGACGCTGTACAAACACAGAGATGAAAGCACCCGAGTCATTGTCGAGGCCGCGCAGATGGCACGCGAACAGGTGCATTGTATTAGCAAGCCCTCCGTGGCTTTGTCCGAGAGGGAACGCAGGTTCTTCGAAGGTTTCGGTGCGGGCAGGTAGTTATATTATCTTTACCTTTCTTTTTCGTTTTCTTCTAGATTTTTCTTTGCGGTTTTTCAGTGCTTTTGTTTATGTTGTAACGGGGTTTATTTGCAGAGCAGAACGCAGAAAGCGAAGCAGTCAGCAGCGTCCGGCCAAGCGCAGCAAGCACGAGCTTATGCTGATGGCGATGCCCCTGAGGCGCCGAGAAATGCCGCTGAAGCTCCTCTTCTTCACTACAATCGCCCTCCGCACAAAAAGACGCCATCCTGGCGGATTAGGGAGAAGAAACGACTAATGGGTCATAATATGGCTTGAGACGAGAGACGTGGACAGTGTCGCGGCCGCGGTAGCGTAGGTCTGTGGATGGGATGATGGGCTCCACGATATAGTTGACGAGTGACGTTTGCTCTACAACGCGGTATGGCCCGATGTATTTGGGAAGAAGTTTTGCGGAGCGGCCAGGCGCGGTAGCAGGTGCCCGAAGCCATACCAATGAACCAGGTGGAAAGTTTGGAGCCGAACGGTCCCCAGTCTGGCGGGATTGCTGCTGCCACTGGTCCTCGGTAGAAAAAGAGCGGGCAAGCTGGCGGCATTCTTCAGCATGTCGGGCAGCTTCGGACAGAGTTGTACTTTCGGACTCATAAGGTTTATATGGAAGAATAGTGTCTACTGTATTTGAAGGTTCTCGTCCGTACAGAAGAAAGTATGGCGAAAACCCAGTAGTAGCTTGTACGGCAGTATTATACGCGTAGGTGACGAACGGGAGAACTTGGTCCCAATTTGAATGATCAGAGGCGACGTACATCGACAGCATATTGCCAAGAGTACGGTTGAAGCGCTCCGTCATGCCATTCGTTTGAGGGTGGTACGCTGTACTTGTGCGGTGCACGATTCGGCATTCGTTGAGTAATGCCTTCAAGGCGTCAGAAAGGAAGGCACGGCCTCTGTCACTTAAGAGCTCGCGAGGGGCACCATGACGCAGAATGAAACGTTGCAACAGAAACGTTCCAACGTCACGGGCTGTGGCAGTCGGCAGCGCGGCTGTTTCGGCATAGCGTGTCAGATGGTCTATCGCAACAATAATCCAGCGATTACCAGCTAGAGTTGATGGTAGTGGTCCGTAAATGTCAATGCCGACGCGATCGAAAGGTCGACTAGGACAAGGAAGAGGTTGTGACGGGTAGACTTGCCCGGGAGGTAACTTTTGTCGTTGGCACTGAGCACACGAGCGAATGAATTTTCGCACGTAGTTATACATGCCACGCCAATAAAATCTGAGTCGAAGCCTAGCGTATGTCTTGAAGAGGCCTGCGTGGGCGCACTGTGGGTCCGCGTGAAAAGCTTCGCAGATAGCAGCTCGAAGATGGCGGGGTATCACAAGGAGACACTTGCGACCGTCAGAAAGGTAGTTGCGTCGATAAAGATCATCCCTTAGGCAAAAGTTGCTAGCCTGGCGGCGGAGAGCGCGAGACGGCGAAGGAGTGAGAGGATCAGAAAGAATGCTTATGAGGCCACTGATCCAGGGATCCTTTCGTTGTTCCACCGTCATGTTGCGCAAGGCGGATGACGCAAGTGCAGGCTCGAGGGAAGAGAGGCAAACACCTTCATCCGATATGGGTGAGCGAGAAAGGGCGTCGGCGTCCGTGTGCTTACGACCAGATCTGTAAATAACGCGGATGTCGTATTCCTGAAGTTTGAGCGCCCAGCGAGCAAGTCGTCCGGAAGGGTCTTTAAGTGTGGATAGCCAACAAAGGGCGTGGTGGTCAGTGACGACGTCGAATGCGTGACCATACAGGTAGGGGCGAAATTTTCCAAGGGCCCAAATAATAGCTAAACACTCTTTCTCGGTCACGGAGTAGTTAGCCTCGGCTTTCGTCAAAGTTCGGCTTGCGTAGGCGACGACATATTCATCAAACCCTGCCTTTCGTTGCGCGAGCACAGCGCCAAGTCCAACACCGCTGGCATCAGTATGAACCTCCGTGGGAGCGGCAGGATCGTAGTGGCGGAGGATGGGTGGTGAAGTCAGCAGGTGGCGTAATTTGGTGAATGCATCGTCGCATGCTGGTGACCAGGTGGAAAGGTCCTTGTCGCCGCTAAGAAGGTCCGTAAGGGGCGCACATACGGAAGCAAAATTTCTAATAAAGCGTCGGAAGTATGACGACAAGCCGACAAAACTTCTAAGTTCCTTCAAGTTCTTTGGCTTCGGAAAATCGGCGACTGCTCGAAGCTTGGCGGGGTCGGGAAGTATGCCGTCCCGCGATACGACGTGGCCAAGAATGGTGAGCTGCCGGGCACCAAAACGACACTTCTTGAGGTTGAGTTGAAGGCCGGCGTCGGTGAGACGTGTGAGGACGTGCTCGAGACGATTTAAATGGGTGTCGAAATCGGTGGAAAAGACAACTACGTCATCGAGGTAGCATAAACATGTGTTCCACTTGAGGCCTCGTAAAATAGTGTCCATCATTCTTTCAAAGTGGCTGGAGCGTTACAAAGGCCGAAAGGCATAACGGTAAACTCGTATAATCCATCAGGTGTGACAAATGCTGTTTTCGGTCGGTCAGATGCTTCCATAGGAACTTGCCAGTATCCAGACCGTAAATCCAGCGAAGAGAAGTATTCTGCTCCCTGCAAACAGTCAAGGGCGTCGTCTATTCGCGGTAACGGGTAAACGTCCTTGCGGGTGATCTTGTTTAAACGTCGATAGTCCACACAGAACCGAATGGAGCCGTCCTTCTTCTTAACAAGAACGACCGGTGACGCCCAGGGACTGTTAGAAGGCTGTACAATACCCCGCTGGAGCATGTCAGCAACCTGGTCGTCAATAACACGGCGCTCCGACGCTGAGACTCGGTAGGGGCGCTGCCGTAGAGGCGTATGGCTTCCTGTGTCAATCTTGTGAGATATGTTCGATGTGCGACTGAGGCCAGAAGCGTGGCTGTCAAAAGAAGTACGAAACTTTTGCAGCAGGTTCACTAACTGGCTTCGTTCTGAAGAAGACGTTGCGACATCGATGGAGCGGTGGAAAGCGTCAAGGAGTGACTGGTCAACAACAGAGTCAGAAATGAGTGCGCTGAGGTCCGTAGAAAGTAAACTAGATGGAGCGTCAAAAATGTGACGGGCGTCGATCGGATGCACGTGACCGAGACATTCACCATAGAATAAAGGTAAAGGCCCTTCTAGCGTATTGTACACGAGCGTCTTCGTGACGCCATGGTGGAGAGTAAGGAGAGCAATGGGCAGTGGAGAACATTTGCGTTGAATGAACAGGGCAGAGGGCGTAAATAAAACATCACCGTCGGAAATAGCGTCACACGACACAGTCACCAGCAGAGAAGAGCGCGGTGGTACGGTGGTGTCGTCGGAAACAAACAGTTTATAACACGGCAGGGAGGCTTCGACAGCGTCAACATCAGGAAGTGCAGATAGCTCAAGTTCAGCGCGACAGCAGTCAATGACGGCATTATTATTCGCAAGGAAGTCCCAGCCGAGTATCATGTCATGGGAACACGAGGGCAGCACTACGAATTCGACGATATACACAATCCCTTCGATGACGACTCGTGTGGTACAGGCTGCGAGAGGTGTTACACTTTGTGCGTTAGCCGTTCTAAGAGAGAGGCCGGATAATGGCGTCAGAACTTTGCGGAGTTTGCGGCACAGGTTGATGGAAAGGACGGATAGAGCGGCTCCGGTGTCGACAAGCGCCATGACGACGATACCATCGACTGACACTTCAATGACGTTAGCTGGACAGGGGCGAGGACTTGTGCATGGCGACGGGGACGCAGTTCGTGCCTCGGGAACTGCGGCCGTTAGTTTTCCTGGTCGGTGGGTCCGGAACGGCGACGCATAGGGGAAAGCGAACGTCGACGTGGAGATGGGGAGCGGCGGGTCGGGCCGTGTGGACGATCAGAAGGAAAGGAAGAGGAAGGAGGGCTTGAAGGCGTAGAAGAAAACTGAGGGTCGAAAGAGGGCATTCGTCGAATGTTCTGAGCAGCCTGGCGACGACGACAATAACGTGCCACGTGGCCAACACCACCACAAGCAAAACATATGGGACGGTTGTCGTAGGTCCGCCATTGGTCGGAGTAGACTCCGACTTGCGGCTGGGGGCAGAAAACTGCGGCCGAGGTGGTATCGGCATAGGCGGCGGTGAATAGGTCGGCGGCGAAAAGGGCGGCGGCGAATACATAGGCGCTGGCTGGAACGCAGGCTGTCGAGGTCGAGCAACGGCCTCGGCGTACGTGAGAGGTGCGGCGACTGGGGGCGGTTCACGGGCGGGAGGAAGAACTTGTGCGACCTGGTCTTGAATGAAGTCGCGGAGTGTAGACGTCAATCTGCGTGGTTGATCGGGTACGCAGGACATCAAAGAGAGCTGACGAGCGACCTCAGCGCGGATGAACTCTTGGATCTTGGAGAGAAGAGGGGCATGGTCTTCTCCTATGCCAAGGGTGGAAAGGCTGGACGAAGAGTCGTCGAGCACCGAGGGACGTCGGGTGGAAAGACGTTGCCTGCGCAACTCGTCAAAACTCTGGCATAACTTGGTCAGTTCTAGGACAGTGTGAGGACTCTTAGAAAGCAACATTCGGAAAGCGTCGTCCTCAATGCCCTTCATGATGTGCTTGATCTTAAGCTCTTCGGACATCGACTCGTTGACTCGCTTGCAAAGGTCCAGAACGTCCTCAATATAGCTTGTGAAATTCTCTCCAAGCTGCTGGGACCGAGTATGTAAGCGTTGTTCGGCACGGCGTTTGCGTACCTCAGGCCGTCCGAAAACTTGTGTGAGGCTCGTTTTGAAGACCGACCATGTAGGGAGTTCCGCTTCGTGGTTTATAAACCACAGCTTGGCCACGTCCGACAGGTAGAAGGAGACGTAGGCCAACTTGGCGGCGTCATCCCATTTGTTGTGAGTACTCACTCGCTCGTACATTGAAATCCAGTCGTCAACGTCCTTGTCTTCTGTGCCTGAGAAAACAGGGGGATCTCGCAGACGCAGAGAACCGGCGCAGAGAACAGTAGGCGGTGCCGGTGGAGGAGTTGGAGCGGCGCTTGCGTCGGTAGGCATAATGGATGGTAAAATGCGATTCCGAAGCTACAGGGTGATCGAAACCCAGCCGACTCCACCACTTGTAACGTGGTTTATTTGCAGAGCAGAACGCAGAAAGCGAAGCAGTCAGCAGCGTCCGGCCAAGCGCAGCAAGCACGAGCTTATGCTGATGGCGATGCCCCTGATGCGCCGAGAAATGCCGCTGAAGCTCCTCTTCTTCACTACAATATATATATATATATATTGATTTTGTCCGCAAAAACAAGATCATGAGTTTTCCGCTAACATCTAACGATGCCGACACAAACTCAGACTTTGAAATTTCGTAAAACAGAGCTTTCTGACTTGTTCTTTGGGCCACAGCCGGCGTCCGCTGGCGCGCCAAAAAGGACCACTTCTAAATTGTCCACGCTTTCGTGGTGCGGTTCGGGGGGCCGATACTTCGGCCCTTGGAATCAGCCCGGCGATCGCCTCTCGAATTAACGAGACCTGTGACAGTGACAAGCGGGCGGTTGCTACCATTTAGGGTAGAGGGATTATCTTGTCTGAAGCCTTCTGTGCGGGATATGTCTAACAATGCATAACAAGCAATAAAACTGGAGAGTGAGTAGACCTCAGTCGTTTACACCGAGATTGGATCAGCAACCCAGGACCTCCATCTGACTGTAATATATGATGCGTAGCGCAATTCAGTGTAACGATATTATATCTGTATATATCAGCTGTGTCACTGAAAACGAGCTCCACACGTGCAATTTATGGCACAGCGTTTGGTGCACTGCATCCTTGTGTTGTTTGTTTATTTTTTGTATCTTCTTATTCCGTTAATTTCACTGTCTTTGTGAGCAGATTTGCCATTGGTGACAAAGCCTTGAGGCTGCAGGAACTGCCGAAACAGGTCAGGCCCAAAGTCATCGCTGCAGATTTGGCGAGGGCCTTCGAACACGAAGCAGCCTACAACGTAAGACATCTTCGTTAGCGCATTACGAAAGCAATTTTCTTCGCGGTTGCATCGCTTGAGTGCCAGTTGCGTTGGGATATGCAAAAAAATTTTTCTGTTGCCGTACACTCTCTGCAGCCTGTACACTTCGAAGAGAAGAACTGGCTCGAGGAACAGTACTCGGGCGGTTGCTACGTGTCCACTTTCCCGACAGGGGTCATGAGCAAGTACGGAAAGTAAGAATGTCCGCGTTTATTAATCTCTTGTCTTGCGACTGCTCTTTGTAATTTTCTATGATCCTATTTTTTCAATAACGCTGTAACGATATTACAGCAAAAATATTGTTACTAAGGCCAATGTAATAGCCAGGATATGCTGACGTATAAACCGGGCGCCGAATGCACCTGTATTCACTTTAAAGGAACCAACAACCAATTTTTATGGTGGTTGTTTTCTTTAGCGCAATGGAAAGCTATACCGGTGCGAGAATGCCAGAATGGTAATGCAAGAAAAGCGAGGAAAGATTTATGTTGTAGAATTTTCGACCTTGGCGAATATGTAGTCGTGTACACACAACTTGTGCTGCAAACATTGGGAGGTGAGCGCGGGATCGGTACGTGTAAGTTTGTTCATGGCGGTTTGCTGTGCGTGGTGGTTTGATTTCCAAGTGACTCTGACCGCCCAGTCTTTCCCGACCCCCCCCTCGAAAAAACATTGCAGCTGCTATGACCGGTACGTAATCGAACACGTACGTGCACTCCAGCTGAGCATAGTAACACGGACACATCCGTTTAGTCAGTGTGGCAGACGTAATTGAGCGATGGCGTGCTCCGCAGGACCCTGCGGGAACCGTTCGGCCGAGTGTACTTCGCGGGCACGGAGACGGCAACGGCGTGGCCTGGCTACATGAACGGTGCTGTGCAGGCTGGCGAGAGGGCTGCCAGGGAGGTGCGTATTTTAAAGACGATAGTCTCTCGTGGGATAGTTGAACGCAGAAGTTTTGGTCAGTCTGCCAGTATTTATGTTTTTCTGTCAATCTATACAACCACCCGGCGAAAGTTTGACCTCTTGCTCAGCGCCCACCCACCTTAATCTCGTGCTGCGTTCATACCTGTGAACATTGTCAATCAAAAGGCAAGTTTGGCGCTTATTTGAGGAGCAATATCAATACGTCGGTATTAGCGTGTTTTTAAATGCGAACCATTTCTTCGCGTACTGCAAGCACTTTTCGCATCCCCTAAATCATGCAGAGTGAATATGAGCAATGCTATTTTAATAAAAGTATTATTAAATGCGAAGTAATTCTTAGCGAACTTCGGCGACTTTGAGCGTATCTATCTATCTATCTATCTATATCTATCTATCTATCATCTATCTATCTATCTATCTATCTATCTATCTATCTATCTATCTATCTATCTATCTATCTATCTATCTATCTATCTATCTATCTATCTACTATCTATCTATCTATCTATATCTATATCTATCTATATCTATATCTATATCTATCTATTTATATCTATATCTATCTATCTATATCTATATCTATATATCTATCTATCTATCTATCTATCTATCTATCTATCTATCTATATATCTATCTATCTATCTATCTATCTATCTATCTATCTATCTATCTATCTAGCCACCTGCGTCTGGGTGCTCTCATGATCACCCCTTGAACTTCAGGTACACCAAAATTAGTACGGGAAGGTGTGATGGTTTGTCGAATACGACTCGCTGGTCATGCCGTAAATAATCTCGCAAATTCGTCGCGTACGTCGTCAAACACTTAAAAAAACGGTGGCACATACCCGGGGGTGGGTGTATACATATATGTGCCACTGCTATGGGGGTATGCGTGCCGCAGGTGATAGACATTTTATGTCTATCCAAGAACGGCGAGCGACATACATGGGTAACGCCAGCGCTTGAGCGTCAGATGTTTCAATTGGCACCATTGACCGTACGAATTCAAACAATAAATTCCAGTGTCCCAGCCGGAATCGAACTCCAGCTTTCCGCGTGGCAATCAAGCATTCCACCACAGAGCACGACAGGCCTCGGATATACTTTTCAAATACATCCCAATGCTTGTGCGACGTCAATTGTGGTTGCAGTACAGGCTATTCGATTTGATAAACATTACATAGTACTCCCATGTCGGGTTAACGTGAATTGTAGTTGGGCGCCATCTGCTGAAGTTTATTCGTGTAGCAGTGTTGAGGGCTACCATCCTCGCGCGCACCAGCGTAAATACCAGCGCTGCATATCAGCTTATACCGCTTTTGGTGTTGCTAATATGCATCCTGCTGTTGGCATCGCTAAGTAACTGTAAACAACTGCTAATATAAAACATACGCGGCTGTTTCTTATGGTGGGGTCTCGAAATGGCGAGCGCCGTGCTATTGGAGGAACGAACACAGCAGCAGTCGGTCCCAAACTTCCAACCAAATGTTTTACTTAACTACTTCGGAACGACGATATCGTCCCCGAGTTAATATAGATCAATCGTGGATCAACACGCTAGGACACCTCCTTACACAATATTACCATACACTCCAAAACATGACAACACAATAACGGCGTCGGCAACGCTTGACTTACCACGGCCCCCGACGTGCAACAACCCGGTGCCGCGCGCCGGGGACCACACTAGACCACATTCGCGGCAACCGCCACGCGCAGAAGAGACCAGCCTATGCTCGCATCGCCGCTGCTGAGGCTTTTCCGCCAAGCGTGGGCCGCGCTAACTTTTCTAACCGATGATGATGATAGTGGTGGTCAATGGATGGATGGATGGATGGATTGTGCTGTACCCTTTAGATCGGGCGGCGGCTAACGCCACCTAGCCGTAATACTTAGTGAAACCCTTACATTTATCTTTTTTTTCCTTTAAATAATGAAGTTGAGGATTCGTACTTCGCAGTGAAGGATTTAATTTTCACTCGTGCCTTGACTTTAGCCACCAATCAGATAACCTCCTTCTAGTTAAGTCTACCCGCTTAAAGTCTATTTTGCCTCGCTGTCCCTAAATCCCAGTGCTTTGAAAAACTCTGCGCCCTCATCCTGAACTATAGGGTGAAGCCCTTTACAGCTCTCGTAAACACAACGCCACCTACCGCTCAATAGCCATGACCTCGAAATACGGCTTCTGCGTGAGGCGCGTGCGCCACGGGGTGGAAACAACTTTACTGGGGAGTGTCAGTACCCCCACAACGCTAAAACTAGATGTTAGAAACTAGCTAAAATGGCAAGGCGTTGCCACGTATACGAGCTGCTCTTCCTTCTAAAAAAATAAAACTTTTGTTTCCTCCCATTACTCCCAGGTGGCCCTGTCATATTTCACGCAGCGCCCCCAGATAGAAGATTTCGACGTCTTTCGCATTGAAGCCTGTAGATACGCAGCCATTTTGTTTTTCTTGCTGCCCTGGTGAAACGCGTGCAAAGTACGCATTGAGTCTGCCAAATTTTCGAGTCTGGTTCACTGGTTTATTCTTTGAGATGAGATGGATGTCATCTCAAGAGCTCTTCACAAGCGAAGAATATTAAGACTGATGATCATGTCAAATTGTGTTAAAAAAAAGATGTGACCGATGTACCGACACACTAACGTTTAATAAAATATGTTTTTGCCTCGTACCGCGCACGAGAAACGGACGCGGCCCAGGTTTGAGAACCTTCGTTTCCGAAAATGTCCTTCCGCAATCGAGCGGGTGAAGTCCCCAACCAGGTGCGTTGAACGTCGTGTCCAAGACAGACTCCACTTATCCGACAATGTTCCAAGAATAATATTTCACACATCCGCACCTAAAGTTAATGAGTTGTGTTTCTGCACTGAGAAGGTGCAATGACGCCTCATTGGACCGCATATTACACGGGTTATTACATGGCATATAAATGGTGTAGTGCAGTGACCTAGAATACGAGTTAAGAGTTCCACATAGAGCAAGACACGAACCTAGAATTCTATAGGTCCCACTAATCGTGTCTTGCGCTGTTTAGGATTCTACTTGCGCAAAAAAAGAAACTACATGCGCACCACATCCCTGTTGTAGTTCTCTGGCACCCGTGCAGGACATACCTAATGTGGCGCAACACTTAATCCAAAGTCTGTTGCCGTCCGTCTATTCACGTAGCCAAGATATGTGATGATGACGATTACGTGTAATTAAATTAAGAAGTGCACAATAAGTGTCCACGAAAATGAATGGCTAAGGTAGAAGCTAATTGGGGCTACGCCACGTCACCAGGCCCTTGTCCTTTCACGGGCCCCAGGTCCTCGTGACTATAGTCGAAATATGGTTGCTGAGCGTGTTTGCACAATGCACCACATTGGAGCCGAAAAGCACGGCCGATGCCCTCACTTCTCCATCTATGCGGAAGCCTGTGTGGTGTGCCCATGCAGCACTTCGATTAATTGTAAATTTGATATGATCTTGTACTTACCACTTACGTGTGGGCGCGTAAGTCAATAAAAATCAATAATATTACGTAAAATGTTAAAAATTAGTTGCCGAAACTTATAAATGTCACGTACTTTTTACTGATCAGTGAGCTTAACATACGGACTTCGAAAATTCCCTGGTACTCTGTTTTCAAGCTCGAAAAATTTGTCGTCTTAAACCAGTAATATCCATGAACTTATGGTAAGTGATCTTTTTTTCCCCTCACAACCAGGTCCTATGTGCGATGAAGATTCTACGGAAAGATGAAATCTGGGAGGAAGAACCAGAATTTAAGGTGGGTATACATGATTTGCCTCAGTTATGAGACAATGATACACGAAAGCACGCGGTTTAAAATTTGTTTGTCGGAATCGTGTATATATGAATGTTATTTACATAATATCGACGCGAGTAGATTGAGTCCATGCGCGTTCAAGCCGAGTCACCATTCAAGTGGACGAGTCCAACCCGACGGCATTCATATGAGACCGGCCGCATAGCTTTACTACGGGAAGTTCCCACTGACCAGTGAAAAAAATAGTACGCATTTCTCTTCAGAGTTTGCACATTTTATTTTCTGCCTCGTAATATTTTCAGCCCCTCGGTCACCGCTGAAAGAAGGTGCTGTAGGTGAGCAGTGCTCACCGAGCAATTAACCTTTTGCTCGAAACTGTGCTGCATTAAGTGAATTAAGAAACGATTTCCTACTGTGCTAGTGAAACATATAGGTGATTGATTCTTCTTTTACTTGCAATTGCGAATGGGCGGAGCTGTGTGTGGCAAAAAGGGCTAGCTATTCCTTGGCTCTCTCGACAGAAAATGCTTCAAGTGAAGAATTCTAAGCTCATCATGAGCAGGCAACTCATGATTTAACTGTAAACTGCATCTACATGACATTGCAATACCAGCGTCTCGACGATGGCACAACCAATAGTTGCAGTTCCCTACAGGGTGTTTTTCGAATGTGATGTCAGCTTTTGGGACGCGACTGGTACGCTTATGCGAGGACCTGATAGGTCCTTCTCTCTGAAATAAACATTCAAAAATAAAAACGACATGAGAGAGGGTTCGAAATCTCTATATACTCCCTGTCTGGATCAACCCTTGCATGCAATACGCTTATTGGGGTGTAGTAGGAAGCAAAACAGGGTATCAAAACAGACAGATTGTCTATACGTTATTTTTTACGGTTTATAACCGCAATTTCAAGCGAACAAAGGCTGCTTTCAAACTTATCATCCGTGACAATGTCATAGAGCCGCCCACTTGGCGATGACGTATACTCGAACTCACGGGGCACTGTTTTTCGCATGTTCCAGGGTGTGAAGGCGCGGCCATTCGAGATGTCCTTCTTGGAGCGGCATCCCCCTCATGTGCTGCTTGTCGGGGCAACGGGAGCCGTCGCCGATCAAGCGTTGCTTGTGTGGTGGGCTACTGCGTATGGAAGGCAGTCACCGCCATGCGAAGCTCATAGACCATCCGGCTGAGAAGCATTCTCAAATGCGTACGGGTTCTTCCTCAGAAGGGCCTTATCCACAGATGGCGAATTCACCGCTGAATATGCACGACCGCAGCATTAGACATCAGCAATAGCACGCACGTCACCGCAACAGTCTATTAATAAGGCTCTCAAGAGTACTCTTGTTCGAGCCAGATTTGCGATGCCACTCTGACGTCAGAGGCGCATGGATGGATACGAGGTGACGTCTAACGTGCGACGGGTCTGACGTAGCTTCTCATGCTGCTGAAATTTCGAGGAACCGGTTAAAGAGTTCTTCGACGTGGTTGCTGGTACCGCTGATGGCGTACCAGACCTAGTGCAGCGTCGCCCCGCGTGAAAGAGAAGGCTCGACCACACGCTTGCCAGTTACTACCCTACGAAAATGACGCTACTGACAAAATCTCAAAGCTGCTTCCGAAAAGACGCCTTGTTCTTTGTGGAACAGAGGGTACGAAAATTTGGCTTTGCTAGAACCACGGAGCTAACGCGGAGCCATTTTCTTCTGGAGCGCTGCGAACCAGTTGTGCGCAAAAGTGGTGGTGCCAGTAGCGTAGGCATCGCTTTGGCATTCCATGTCGGACCATGCTATAACTTTTTATTAATATTGTATTTTTCATATGCTAATTGCACATTAAGGAGCACGTCATGTTTCATCGCTTTGTATTGGAAAGATTGCTTATCTTCCATATCAATTGTTGATCAAATAAATGTTTTATTTTTCAAACGGTTGTTCTTAAATGCACTGAAAAAAAAACTAGGAGATAAAATTAACAAGTATTGTTCGGAAGAAGAAAAAGGGTGTGTTCCGAGATCAGGATCTAGTGAGTGTGTTTGTGTCATTCTCTTATAGTCAAGAAACAAATGATACATAATAGTTGCACTGTCTCTAAAATAGCCGCTTTCGGAACAAACGCACACGTCACACCGTATAGAGCAAGAACACGTGTATATTTATTAACAATTTATGTCATGGCGCGAGCTCTGCATCTGAATCTAATTAATAACTGGTATCCATAATGTCAGTATTTTACCCAAAGGTGATAGCCCACACAAAACAATGCAACACGTATACGGTATACTGCGAAAACGGTGTCGCCGACTCACTCCGGGGGCCCGTGGTTACGAGCCGCAGCTTCGCACCCAGGGCACTCGCTGGAGCCGATCGTCGCCGACCACGCCAAGCCGCAAAAGACTTATTGTGATAACCCTCATTAAGGTGGTGACGCCCAAGGGGCGGCTTTCAGCTCTCCCATAGTAGAGTACCGAGTACTCTGAATTGTTAAGCACTTTTTCCAAACACACAGGGCTCTTCCTCACGAACCTCGCTCCTGCCAGGCGGCGTTTATGACACCACCGCACAAGCACAGTACCACCTCTTGCTCAGCGGCTTTTAAGCTAAATAATCCTACAGCTACAGCTAACAATAATGCGGTGTGTTCTTTTTAAATGCGAAGCACTTCTTAGCGAACTTCGGCGACTTTGAGCGTATCTATCTATCTATCTATCTATCTATCTATCTATCTATCTATCTATCTCTCTATCTATCTATCTATCTATCTCTCTATCTATCTATCTATCTATCTATCCGCTTACATTTCGGTGCTCTCATGGTCACACCCTTATTTGTGAACCAAAATTAGCGTGGGAGGGTAAGATAGTTTGACAAATATGACGCGCTGGTCAAGACATGATAATGTCACAATCTCGTCGCGTACATCGTCAAACACTTCCCTCTAGACAGTGGCACATACCCACGGGCGGGTATGTGCCGCTTGTATGCGGGTATGTGCCACAGGTGATTGACACTTAGTATCTACCCAGGAACGACGAGAACGCACATGGGCAATATTGCGTGCGAGTGTTAAGAAATGCCCGACCTCGGTAATGTCGACCCGACGAATGCAAAGAATAAACTTCAGGGTCCTAGCTGGAATCGAGCCCAAGTATTCTGCGTGGCAATTGAAGTATTTTACCACAGAGCTAAGCAAGGTCTCGGAATTACTTTTCGAATAGACGCTAATCTTCGTGAAACGTCAATAGTGGTTGCAGTGCTGCCTACCCAATTTTATAAACATTACATATGTACTGCTTTGATACGGCCATCACGTCGGATTAGCGTCAATTGTGGTTAGTTGCCATGCGCTGAAGTTGATTTATCTAGCAGTGTCCAGGGCCAGTATGCTCGCGAGCATCAGTGCTTCATATCAGCCTCTGGTGTTGCTAACACGCATGTTAAAGTTGGCATCGTTACGCAAGCACAAACAACTGGTTATATAAACATCTAAAACTCTTCAACATATGTCTGTGCGTGCAACATTTGTACATATATTTAGTGTCATTTCGTGGCGTGGCGCTCAATAAAAAAATAGTATCATGGTCACCTTCCCTTCGCATGCTTCGCATAACATCGATTCCCAGGTATGTGGGACCTGCCAGGGAGGTGTGTATTTTAAAGACGATAGTCTTTCGTGGGATACTTCAACGCAAAAATTTTGGTCAGTCTGTCAGTATTTCTGTTTGTCTGCCAATCGATACAACCACCCGGCGATTTCTTTTCTTTGGGCACAACAGGTTGGCGATATTCAGGAAAATTATAAAAGCAAAATACTGTCTGTTAGAAAGCAACAACGAAAGGTATATTTCCCGGAACCGTCGGAAAGAAAGCGGTGCAACACTTAATGCACCTAACATTCAAGCGCGGAATAGATGCTTTTATGTCTGCAATTATTCCAGCTAGAATTCCCGAAGTGCGCAGCACAAATGTGTCCGTCTAGTTTAAACGGTGCATTTACTCTTTTATTTTTTGCTAATTACTAGCAGTTGAACAATGTAATTAGCGAAATATAAAAGAGTAAATGCAGCGCTCGCAGATTCGACGATTACGCTAGAAATATGGAGTGAAAATAAACGTAATTGGAATAGATGCAAACACGACATTTTCGTCAAGTACCTGATTACGGGTTCGTTCCAGCAGGTCCTGGTTCTATGCCTGCTAACTCCGCTAATAGCTGACTGATGCGCATTCACCAATCACATTGAAGCACATGATTAGTCAGCATTGACATAAATATGCGTATGCAAATGATTTTCGAAAAGCTATTCACACCAAGAAGACCTTCGTTTATGTAAAGTAGTTCTGGGAAATTTTTCCTCCGGATGGCGAAAAATCAGATTTCGTATACCTGCAGTTCTTTCTCAGCCAGAAAATAAAATTTGGAGCGAGTACATGCCTTTCGTTAGAAATGCGACAATATTTATAATCACACCCTCGTGCATCGAAAAAGAAAACAAGAATGAGATGCTGGAGACAGTGAAAATACATCTTCCAAACTCATCCCGAAAAGAACTCCTCATTCCAGCGAACAGTTAAACGCGACGACGAAACCATTTGGCATTACCCATTCGCCCAATGCACTTGTTCAGCTGCGACATCTATGCGTTAGAGAGTCATCAACATGCTGTCAAAACCATGCACATAACTCGCAATAATAATTCAACCCGCAACTGCGTTACCAGTAATATGCACACCGTTTCAAGAATGGTCCAAAAAGACCAGGCGCCGTTAAAGCGATAGGAAACATCAGTAAACCTTGAAAAACTCACCCTGCATACACGAAAGGCTTCCATCGGCTGCCGCTTATCACGCCTGATTCTCACTGTCCATAAAAGCCTTCTTTTAGGATAACCTTGGAAAGAAAGTACCGTTCATTCATTCCTAGAATAACTCGTGCACTGTGGCACGCTACATCCAGTCATTTTGTCGGACTTGCGACGGATCACACGGGTGACAAGGTGGCAGGCGTCGCGTATATACACAACACGGCGTGGGCTGAAACATGGCGGACGTCGATCCTTCAACACGCTAAACGGGAGCGCGGGCAGTCGACGTTCTCTACTCGGAATCGGAAACACGTATCAATGACACCTACCGCCTAAGCTGAGGTTCGGCGCATCTGCAGTGCGTAAGCTCATACTTCATGTGAGCACACCTTTCTCGAAGGCGCTCAATAATGATGAAGTAATGTCCGCGATAGCCAAACAACCACGCCGATGACACGCTGAGAGCATGTGCCGAGCCTCTTGTTGGTGTACATGCGTCGCTGATAGTGCCGTGAGGCACGCACTCCTGTTTACGCGGAGCGTGCTCACGACTGTACAACGCTCATACCAGATCTGCAGGTGTGATTAGAAGACGACCAAGCTCCAGCACGGCACGCCGTTTAAAAAGGTTTCTGAAACGCTTGAAAAATATTCTGTATTGGCTCAGTGTCAAAGTTGCCCCGCCGCGGTGGTCTAGTGACCCACAGGTCGCGGGATCGAATCTCGGCTGCGGCGGCTGCATTTTCGATGGAGGCGAAAATGCTGTAGGTTCGTGTGCTCAGATTTGGGGGCAGGTTAAAGAACCCCAGGTGGTAAAAATATCCGCAGCCCTGCACTACGACGTCTCTCATAATCAAATGGTGGTGGTGTTGGGACGTTAAACGCCACATATCAATCAATCAATAAACCAATAGATAAATCTTGGTGTCAGAGTTCCTCGCCTCAAGCAGACTGCCGCAAATCGGCGTACCAGTGATTCGTTGGGGCAACGGAGGTCTCGATGTTTTGAATGCCCTTCCGCGACCGTAATTTTATTGAGTGATTCTAGGAAGGAGGGAAGAAGGCACCTATAATTTCTGTCTGCCTATTGTAAGAGACGGTGGAAGGGGAATGAAAGAAGATATGGATGATAAAGGTGTGTATATATGTAGAAAGTCGAGGCGTGTTCGTCATGGCCGGAGCGGCAAACAGAGGGCAGCAGGGGCAAGGGCAGGATCTCCAAGCTCAATGGTAAGCAGCAATTTCCGTCTCGTCCAGGAGCTCGACCAGGCTCCAGAGTGTTGGCAGGGGAGGACGGGACGGGAATATCAGATGCTCCAGACTTGAGGCAGGCAGGCCCTTTCTCCGCTAGGTCGTGGTGACCCTCGGGCGTTCTTGTTCCAAGCC